ATGCGTAGCCTGCACTACCGATATGTGCATCTGTTCTTTTCGGACTTATTTTCGTAAGTGCCGACTACGCGTCCTATTCGGGATTAAATTCGGGTGTCGGGATGGTTTTCATCGCTGCTCTATTCAACTCCATTATGGCGTTCCAGAGTGTCCTACCGCTTTCTTGTTCGGAACGTGCCTCGTTCTACCGCGAACGTGCATCGCAGACGTATAATGCGTTCTGGTACTTCGTGGGTCCGACGCTGGCTGAAATTCCCTACTGCTTCATGAGTTCGCTGATCTTCACTGTGATCTTCTACCAGTCGTGGGATTCCAAGGCTTCGTCCCCGTCGTCTTGTTCTGGTTGATCTTGTCGCTTTCGATCCTCATGCAAGTCTACATGGGCATGATGTTCGCCTACGCGCTTCCGAGCGAAGAAGTGGCTGCTATTATCGGCGTTTTGGTGAATTCGGTCTTCATCTTGTTTATGGGCTTCAGTCCTCCGGCGTACGCCATCCCCTCGGGCTACAAGTGGCTGTACACGATCTCGCCGATGAAGTTCCCCTTGTCCGTCACGGTTTGCGCTTGTTTTCGCGGATTGCGACGAGTTGCCGACGTGGAATGAGACGACGCAGATATACGAGAACGTTGGCTCGACCCTCGATTACCAGCCTATGGCGAATCATACGGCAAATGTTGGTCACATTACTGTGAAAGAGTACACGGAAGAGTACTTTGGCATGGAGCACGACACGATCGCTCGCAACTTTGGCGTCGTGATCGGATGCATCGTTGTCTTCCGTATTCTGGGTCTGTTGGCACTGCGCTTCGTCAACCATCAGAAAGATAAGCATTTTAAATAGAGTGCACAGCTCCAACTCCATGTAGCACTTTTGAATTTATGGATCTCTTTTTGTTCAACGTGTAGCTTTGGCATCGGTTGATATGTCTATTTTACAGTTCATTTTTCGCCCAACAACCAAGACAGATCGGCTTGTACTACAACCACGACAAAGGGACATAATTCATCGCTGTTGTAAGAAGCACCCACAGGATCAAACCATCCAGTCAATAATTCCCCCCCCCCCTAATCCTTTGTAGACATCTTCGCTCCAGCATGAGGCACTTCGGGAATGTTGTCGGTCGTTCTCGGCAGATCTTATCAACGAGACCAGGCCAGTGATACACTCGGTTGTAGCTGCGCCAAATCGAGCTATACCTCATCTTACTCGGACACGACCGTCACCTCTTCAAGCTATCTTCGGCTTGGCTGTTGCTGCAGCCATTTGATGTTCATGTTAATATTCTAATACGTACGTCAGACTACCGCAAAGGCAGCGCGCCACCATTAAATCATGCGCAATCTGAGAGCGTGCGCGCTGCTTTCTATCTCGCAGATTCGAAATGCGTGCAGTTGCGGGAGTCTTGAACATTACACAAGCAGATCCCATGATTTTTGCGTAGTTAGTACAACGTAATCTAGATGCCCATAGTGAGTGTTATCTGAAAGTACATTTTTATGTGCGACGCTCGCCATCGTCGTGTCACACTGGAACAAGGAAAACTTGACACTAACTACTGCCACAGTAGAATGAATGATGCCTAACGCAGTTGCTACCAACTGCCATGATACGCACATCGCTAAACTACTGGGGGATGCCTGCATGTGCTCAAACATAACATGCAGGGAAGAATTCCAGACCTCAGTGCCATTCAAATATCAGCCAATAAGAGTGCAACAATGTACTTTTCTGTATTCCGTGGGCACTCACAGTTAAAAGTGAAGAATTGATTTGATTGGCTAGTCAAGTATTCAAACATTCCAACCGTGACAACCCCTTGAATAATTACTCAAGTATTATAATGGAGCCATTTTTTTTCACAGCTGCTCGCAGCTTTGAATCCGATGATTTTAATGAAGGCTGGATACATCAAATTTTGCAGTCACGAACCGTAAACATATTCAAACTACACTTGAAGTAGTGAAAAAAGAAAGGATTTTCGTCAAACAATTTGCGTGGGATCATGTAGTCCGTATATTAGCAGCACTAGATACATAATACTCAGCATATGCGACAAGCAAAGCTGAGGTAGTTAACAGCTGTAATTGGCGCTTGTGTGCACAGTAGTGCGCATGTTAAACCTTTTGTCATTGTGCGACTTACATCTCCGAGCGATGGGCCTCCTCTACCTAGTTGGCTTGGCTTCCTTAGCCGCCATCACTTCTACTGACGCCAATTCGCCTATTGTAACCTCGAGCGTACAGTCCCCTAAAGTTTCCAATTGGTCATCTAGTACGTCTGTTGTCTCCACGACGAGATTCTTGAGAACTAGCGACACCGACGATGAAGAAAGCGAAGAGAGGGCGGGACTCTCCGTACCTGCCTCTGAAAAGCTCAAATCCTGGTTCATGTCTTCGAATGTAAACCCACGACAGCTTCAGAAGTGGCTGAATGAAGGGAAATCAGGAGAAACGGTGTTCACGCGCATGCACCTTACCAACGTCGGCTCTTTGTTGTTCTACGATCCCCAGTTTAAGACCTGGCTCCAATACGTCGACGATCTAAATGCCAAAACCTATCAGAAAAGAACGCCAGCGATATCGGTACTGACAACTCAGTACGGCGACGATGCGCTATACAAGATGATTGAAGACGCTAAAATGATCCCGCGGATGAAGGAACTCGCCTCGAAATTGCAAGCTGATCAAATGGATCACTGGGTGGCTGTTGCAAAAGATCCCGATGAGGTCTTCCATTTGTTCAAGCTTGACAAGCTCGGTAAAACACGGATGAAATTATTCAGCAGCCCAGAATTCGCAGCTTGGGCTAAGTACATGGACGATTTGAGCATGAATAACCCCGAGAAAGCGAGGCCCATGATCTCGACGCTGCGGCAACACTATAGAGACGTCGATTTACTTACAATGGCCGAGTCGGTGAAGAGCGTGGAAGCGACCAAAAGTATCGCTACAAGGCTGGAGACTGAAGTGATCAAGGACTGGGCAGTCAGCCGTAAAACACCGGACAAAGCGCTGAGAGACCTTGACCTTGACAATGCTGATACACTTTTGAAAGATCCACTGTTCAACTTTTGGGCCAAGTACGTAGATGTTTACAATGCGAGATACCCAGAAGAGAAAATGACAATGATCAAGACGCTGACGCAGAAATTTGACGATAATAACGTGGCGAAGATGATTAACGCAGCGAAGGCGAACGATGCCACAAAGGATATCGCAGCGAAACTAGAAATGGCGCAGCTCCAGATGTGGCTACACGACCGGAGGTCAGTCGACGATGTGTTGGTACGGCTGTGGATTCACACAACAGAGAATGACTTCCTTGGCAATCCACTGCTTAACACGTGGGTCGCATACATGAATACTGTCATCACTGAAAATCCCACCAAGGTATCTTCTATATTCTCAGTATTGGAGACTCGCTATAGTGACAAGGCTCTGCTCCAAATTCTCGAAGTAGCGAAGGGGTTTCCCAGCATGAAGAACACTGCAACTAAGATGCAGAAGAAGAAGATCCAAGCAATTTTTGCCAGGTGGGAATTACCCAGTAAGGCGTTCGGTCTTCTAGGGCTTGACCGTACCGGGGATAACATTCTCAGCACTCCACTATTCCGGAGGTGGATGCATTACGTGGAGATATTTAACAAGAAGAACCCGGATCGCCAAGAGTCCTGGATTGATCCCATTCGTTTTAACTACGGTTGGTCCGGGGTCGAAGGAGCGATCAAGCAGGCGATGAAGAATCCAAAGTCGGTGAATATCGCGAAACAGGCGGAGAGTGCGTGGCTGGATACATGGCTAGACGCTGCAAAGCCCCCTGAAGATGCGTTTCGCTTCTTGCACCTTGACAACGTATTTGAAAATAGTCTCAGCAGTCCAAAGTTCGCGACGTGGGCCAAGTATCTCGATGACTTCAATAAACGATATTCCGAGCAGAAAACGACAATGATCGATGGACTCAGGGCGAACTACAACGACAGATGGTTACTGCGGATATTTGATGCTGCCAAAAGCGACCTCAACACGGAGAAACTTGCAGCAAATTTGCAGAATGCGCTTGTTGATACATGGCTTGCTGCGAAGAAGAAACCGGCAGATCTTAAACGGATGCTTAATGGCGTGCCGACATCGGATCAAATGATTGAGCGATATGTCAAGAAGTTTGACGCGCTGTTGGAGAATTCATAATAGGGAAAACTTGTCCATTCCCGCGCAGATTTTCTGCAAAAACATCAAAAGGATATTGTTCCTTACAGAAGGAACTTATACTGGGAATACCTTTAGGTATGGACAGACCTCAACAAATTAAATCCACGGTACTGTGTAACTCGCTCGATGTTATCTCACTCAATATTCAGCTGACATCACAATGTAAGCTGAACATTGAGCAAAAGTAGCTTGTTCAAAGCAATTTTTGACAGCGGATAGTTAAGGGCTAACGGGCTTTGGTCGGGAAGTATCGCAGGATTGTTACCCACGCTGTTTTTCCTTTGTGAGCGTGTCGAAGTCTAACCTACTTGAACTCGCGAGGGCTTGACATCTGCCGTGCGTCCGGCGGGGCATTTCGTGAGCCAAAGGAGAAGCGTCGCAGTTCGTCGCTGTGGTAATACAATTGGTGACAAAATACCACCGCATTGAAACAGTATAATTTAGCACGTTTAGGATTAAAAATGCAGCATTATCTAATCTCCCATGACGAAGTACGTAAAACAAGATATATGGCAATATAAACCTTTTTGTGGAATCCATTTATCGATGTATTTTTGCTGCCAGTTTTACTTCGTCTTACCTTGCAGAGTGTACGGTACTGTGTGCCGTTGAAGCCTGTGAAGCAAACTTTGACACTCAAAAATCAATACAACAATAACAACCCAAGCCCGTATGGAATTTATGTATGTATTGGACAAATTAGCTTATCTGGAAAAAAAAAATGTGCCTTTATACCTAATCCAATGGGATTATGAGACTTCCAGCAATCTGATTGGTTCCACTACCTGAATGTTTGCATCTATATTATAATAATAGCTACTTTAACATGGGAGGCTTGAACGACGTCTCGAAGGATAATTGAGAATGCCGTGCGCCTTGTTATGAGTATCTGCAGGATCCGAATAATTCTTTAGCCACATTTTAGGGCTGACGCTCTTGGGAGTTGTGGTGCGTGTCGAAATATCGTTGAGCTGTCGGTCTGCAATGAGTATGGCTACTTGACTCCGTTTTCTCTTTTTTGTGCGTGTATAGGTTCCAGAATGTCAGAACTTGTCATTGTGGTGTTGTAATTCCCACAGCAACTCTAGCTACTAGTGCAGGTAGGATAAGCCCACAACAATACGTCTACTCAGAACGGCAAACGATCGTTTGGGCGAGATCTGAAGACCCAGGTTCTGCCCTTACACCGGGACAGACTAGACTTGCACATCGCTTGTATAGGCCAACCAGTAAAATAAGAACACGCTATCACGAGCAAAGCTAGAAGGTACGGGTAAGCCTTTTACGAGGGCGCCGAATGTTGGACGCTCGGCTGGGAGAATATATGGGAGGCAACTCGCTCTCCCCAACACGTGCAAATAGACATAATAAAGCCGTCACGCAAACTTCCGATGTGTAATCGGCCAACACAGACTCCTGGCCTTGCTAGATAAACCCTCACCGGTAGGCATAGAACACCCAAACAAGCTTATCCAGACGCTTACCTTCAAGTCAGACCTCGCTTTATGTGTTTGGATGAAAATTATGTTCTCTTGCCCTTTCGGACATGCAATCCTAATCATGTTTACAAATATCAAGTGAACTATGGTCCGTTATGGATCGCTTCGTGTGCCAACAGATAATTCAACGCTCGTTGCACCTTTCCAGAACTCCGCCAAGAGTTCAAACAGTCGCCGAGGCTTCCCAGGAGTCGCTCCAACCGCCATCGAGCGTTCGTACCGTGACATCTTGGTCACTTCTGGGACCCGGCGAGCGTTTGGTAGTGACTTGGTCCGTTCTCTCTAGCGCTGTCATTGATTTCCATCATGTGACTGAGCGTTCGTAACTTGAGCAGCTTGAATTTAGCCAGCTTGTCTTACGCTAACTGGCTTGAGTCTAATACTTGGAAAGCGCTACACCACAACTGCCCATGTCGCAATGGAAGCCGCGGCACTGGTGCCCGTTGTGGCATCTCGTCCGTCTCCAAAACACGACATTGACCGCGCCGTATCTCGGCAAGAACCTCGCCCTCGTGGCGCTCTCGCCCGGGCGCTACGCGTCTCGTTTGACGAGATAGCTCCCCGCCGACGGTGGGACCCCGCACGCTTAAGAATAAGTCTCAGTATCTCGTATCCATCGCTAGGGGCCTGATCCAGGCGACACCGAGGGTTCGCGTGCTCCACAACTGCAACATCCGCGCCATCAACTTCATCAGGCACTTCAGCTCCAATTGCGCCTGAAGTGACCTCAATCGTTCCTTTACCGTCGTCTCCCACGGCTTCTACTGCGGTTGAAGACTCGGCACTGGTACCAGCAGCCCCTCCAACGCGTCCTCCAGCTTTTACACCCTTCCCCGAGGATTCGCTGCGCGACTTGCTCGCTGAGAGCTCCGAAGCATCGGTGAATGCTGTGATGGTGCAGATTCTGCCATACTTGACTCACATCATCCGCCATCAAGTCCAGCTCAGCATCGTGCCACCGCTCCGTGGCGAAATGAACACCCAGCAGTGAGTCGACCACGCGGTGGGCTTCAACGAGGTGCGAGCGGCGTTCAACCTCTTCATGACACTCTGGCCGGCCTTCCAAGTTGGGTTAGCGAACTCAAAGCCCGGTTCATCTCTGATCAAGTGGAAGTGGCGGCTGCACAACGATCTGTCGCTCCCCATATCATTACTCGTGAGAACTCTGAGCTTCTTTCCAAGCTTACCAACGACAAGGCCGCAACTCTTGTGGCCGACCTGAAGAACGCCAGGAAACTACGTCAAGGTCGACACACTCTTCAAGAAGACCGGGGCGAACACCAGATACTACGTCGATAACTTAAGCCAGCTGGCCGCCGAGATCAACACCAGAGAAGCGACTATTGAGTCATGGGAATAGAAAATCGCTAAGGAGCGCGACATGTTCAAGGCGGCAGTCGTGCCAACACCGAGCAAACCCGACAGCTTCACACTCTCCTTCTCAAGTTGTCCACGGGAAAATGGGTCGACGCTGATATCGCCACGCTCATCGATGATCTCCAGAATCGCAACTCGCATCTTCTCCTCACCAATCGGACGCTCCGTTCGTACGTGAGTCTCGCTAGGTTGAATTCAGAAGTTCTGGTTCCAGCCGTAGAAGGTACGTGCGAATTTTTATCCATCGTATCGTTACCGAGTGTTCGCACACCAACGCTCGCTGTTGCTTGCTTGTGATAGGTATGCGTGCCGGCGAACTGGATCTGTCCGCTCTGAACCTGGGTCATCAAACGTCGGTGGCGCTACAGCGTATTCAAGCCGCGACGGCCGAGTCTTTGGACCCGCATGCCTTGCCAGCAGCATTGACCAGAGCGGCTCACCAAGATGCTCCTGGAAAATATTTCAAACGTCTTCGCTCGAAGAGTAGTCAAGGGTCGGACGAAGGCTAGGAATCATCTCCTGAAGGCAATCCTCTTATCCTGACGGATAAGGCCATTTCTGCCATGGCACACAATTTGTTGCTATTGCCCAAGTGTTCGCTCAAAATGTTACTTATCGACAATGTTTAAAATTAAAAAAAATAATCAAAATATACCCAAGGTAGAGTGCTGAAATGAATGTACTGGTCAGTACATCTTAAGTTCGTAATGCGAATCTAATGATCTTAAGCTAGATTTAAGTAATGATTAGTGTGTTGGTATAGAAGGCCCTCATGTGACCCGGTGTAGATGACCTGCAGCGTACTCAACAGACATGTTTGCGATTTCTAAGACGGTACATTACTATCGTATAATCCAATTATCGACTTGTATTGATTGACACTGTCGTCATGTTTGCGGTTTGCAAATGCGTTTATCTCTTTGAACTAAGCAGCATAACGATTCACCTCCACCGATTACCGTAGCAACTCTTCTTCAGCAAGAAGAACGAGCGTCCAGTGTACTACACAAATTTCATAATAGCAGTACTTGAGAGCCTACGATTGATAAGCATTTTGACGTCTAGAATTACAATATGCTAACAACGAGAAGGGAGAGAAATCATCACCAGTGAATTGGAAACCATCACCAGAGTTTGGGTTTTGTCACCAAAGATTCGACCCCACCACCAGAATTTGAAAGGGCCGAAATCACCAGTACATTAGATATCGTCACCAGAGATTTGGACATCATCACCGTGAAAGCAAATAGAGCATCCGTAGGTATGCAGGGCTGTGGAAATATAGATTGTATATTGATTGTAGTCTCGGATCTCAAACAATCAATTATTGCAATCTTAACAATCTGGTCCACTGGGCTTGAGAACTTTCTTACTAATCTTCTCATCGAGCACATCGGCAGCACGTTTACGCTTTGACAGCGTTATGGTCGCGGTGGAAGATGTTGTTTGAGAGTCAGCTTGCGAGGTGGCTAGGAGACGACTTAACACCTTTTTTTCATTTTGCTGCAAAATTGTATCTAAATCAGCTTGAATTTTAGCAAGACCACTTTCAAAGTGGAAATTCAATAATATTTGCGTTGGACGCCAGATATTTCTCTATACCATCATAATCATCCAGCACAATATCGAAAATGTCACGGACAGCTGCGACTGTAATGTCGTCGCGCTGAAGTTTTCCAGTAATGACATCAGTCATCTCGTCCAGTAAAGCAGCGATTTTTCGCTGCTCGCTCACAGACAGAATTAGATCCACTATCGCAACTCGGCGAATATCCTCTGGGCTAGCATCTACCGGAATATCTCGATCCACCCCGCGTCTTGGAAAAGATGTAAATAAGGGCGATTGTCCTCAAATCGCTGCAGTATTTTGTAACAACCACTTCAGCGGAGCTCGTGGAGTGGTACGGACTTGAGATCATAGTCGTTTTGTTTCAGCTTGGCGATCTGCTGCGTTCTTCGTGTCGTGTGGACTGCTCGTGACTGGTCGGCGGTGCTGGGGCCAAATTTGAAAATGACGTTGTGAAGTATGGTTCTGGAAGCTCGCCTGAGCCGTCGCCCGCTATGGTTCCAGACCAACTCACAGGATTTGTAGGATAGGGGCTCCTGCAGCCAATCGTTTTCTAACCCCTTATGCAATATACTCTGGAGGGCTCGCTGTCGTCGCCGTACAGCACTTCTGAATCCGAGCTCGTGCCCTCCTGCTAGGCCTTCTGCCCAGCAATCCTCAGTTAGTGTTTGAGTATGGTTAGCACGCGAAACAATAGCTACCACGCACACTCGCAGACGTGGCTAATGTGGACCTGCCTTACATCTCTGTATGGCGCCAATGATGAAATTGGCGCCAGTGTAAGCTGCGGGGCTTCCTGTAAGCTTGGTTTGAGCTGTCTGGTTGGTGGAACGAGTCTCGGAGAGTGAAGAAGGTTCTGATAGCTCTGCAGCAGAGCAGCAGCCAGAGCCAGCCTCGGCAGACGAGACGCTCGTACAGGCGATTGCGACCGCCGTTGTTCGCGCACTAAGTGCGGTCTAGACTGGCCCACAGCAAGTTGGTGAAAATCAACCTGACAGGCGACCCGTCCGAGAAACCCGACGTCGGACGCCACGACCACTAAGAGCGACACGATGGGCACGTGGCAGGCGAGCAAGATCCAGCTGGCCTCGACGAAGTTCGACGGCAAGGTGGAGAACTGGAGTCGCTGGAAGACAGTGATGCAGACGATCTTTCACTGGCAGGGCCTCCTGCAGCTGGTTCAAGGCCGTGAAGAGTACGACCAAGCGCGCGCCGGCCGCAGCCAGGAATGGAAAAACTGTTACGAGACGTGTGAGCGCAAGGCCCACACGGAGATCGTGTTGTCGCTTCATGGCGACCTGTTGGATCGCTTCAAGAGCGACATTGAGAGCGCGCGTTCTGCATAGCTATGGACAGCGCTGCTTCGCACCTACGATGGCACGCAGGACACCAACTCAGTGTACTTGAAGCAGGACATGTATTCACGCCGCCTGAGGCAGGGCGAGGGCGTGATGGACTACGTTAGCGATCTTCAGCGCATGCGATGCGAGCTGGAGCGCATGGACTTATCGCTCCCTGCAGGAGAGACGGCTAGCATTGTGTTGTCAAATGCAGTGAGTGTGTACCCATCGATTGCTAATGAGCACACGCAGCGTGTGTCTCGTTTACGTGGATGTTACGACCGTGACCAACGTGTGCAAGATGCCGTCAACCTTCTACTCGTCGCCGAACGAACTGCTCAAGAACAGCAAGATTGTGGTAGCCGTGATAATGGACGTGGTATTCAGCGCCAAGTAAACGTCGTGACTCACCACGGTGCTGGTGGCAACCAGCAGAACCAAGGCAATAACAGACAACAGCAAGGTGGTAAGCGCCGCCACAGTGGTAACAACGGCCAAGGCAACTCCAAGAAGAAGCGCAGTGAAGAAGACGTGAGAAAGAGACGCACAGAGATTGAGGAGCTGAAGCGCACGACTGAGTGTAAATCGTGCCACAAGCGTGGGCACTGGTGGAAGGAATGTCCGAAGCGTCAGTCGACGAACTTAGAAGAGATTAGCTCCATGGCAACCGCAGTGTTGCGTTGTGTTGAGCGTGCGGACGACACCGAGAGCAGTAGCCGTACTGTCAACCAAGACTCGAGTGCTGAACGCCCCCAAGCGGATATCGTGGACACTCATCCTGTGCGTGTGAACCAGAAACGTCAACACAAGGAGGCTCATAGCTACTCAAAGATATACACTCGACATGAACTTGCTGCTCTTGTTGGTCAAGATGTTGAAGAGCGACTCGCACGTGCACGCGACACGCAACGAGAAGACGAGTCGATTGAGTACTCACCGACATCGCCGCCGGACAATGAGGATGAAGATGAACGTGAAGGTAGTGGCCTATCTATTGTTCGTCGCGTTTTGACTGTAGCTAACGTTGGCGCTGAAGCGGTGCCGGCCGAAGAGATCAAGTGGATTCTCGACTCTGGTGCACAAGTAAACGTTACTGGTGAGCTACAACTACTGCACAACGTGAAGGAACTACAATATGCAGAATTTCTCGAAGGAGCAACCGGCACTTTCGAGCGTGTTGGTATCGCTGGATCCTACCTACTGCCTGTTGTGAATGAATTGACTGGACTGGTGGAGATGCGTCTACTGGATGAAGTGCGCTATTCAGCTGGAACCAAGGTGAACTTGATGTCCCAGACGTACGTGCAGTCCAGTGTGGGTTCAAGTTGGTCATGTCGGACGACCAGTTAGTAACGTGGTTGGTGAAGCCCAACCTGCAGTTGAAGTTTGTGCTGCGTGATGGCCTGTACCGCATGCGGGTGCAGCGCCATCAGCAACTGGTACTGGGCGTCCAGAAGCGGACCGATGTGCCGAGGGTATGGAACTGCTCCATTCGCGCCTGAACCATGTGAGCATGGACACCATCAAGCAGATGGTGATGAACAACGTTAATTTTGGAGTTAAGGTGAACATGAAAGACCTGAACCTCTATGACTGTATTCCATGTGTTAAGTCTAAGATGAAAAGGATGACTTATCATCGGAATCCCCGCCGTGCAACGAAGCCATTGGAGAAGATCTCAGCGGACCTGTGCTCAATCAGCGAGATTGCCGTCGACAAGTCAACGATGTTCTTGTTGGTGATGGGCGAGTTCTCGCGGTTTAGATGGGTGTTTCTGTTGAAGTCCAAGGTGGATGCCAGCAGATATCTACGCTACCTGATGCTGAAGCTAGATAAACAAGACAAGGAGTACAAGATCCTAGTGTTCCATGCTGATGGAGGTGGAGAATTCGTGAGCACCGAGTTCAAGGAGTTCTGTGCTATGCAAGGAGTGGAGATGCAGTTTACTCATGCTGATAGCCCCGAAGAAAACGCCATTGTGGAGCGGGCTAACGGAGTGATCGTGGCACGAGTGAGATCAATGTTGGAAGCGACGCGCTTACCCAACCTGCTATGGGACGAGGCGCTCCTGCACGCAGTGGGTACGTAGAATGTCTGTCCTTCGAGTTCGTTGAATGGAAAGAGCTCTCATCAGTCTTTCTACAGCAAGAAACCTGACCTACGATCGCTACGTACGTGGGGCTGCATAGCGCATGTACATATCAATGACAGATCACGCCAACAGAAGGAAAAGCTGAGCACTCGAGTACGGACGTGTATTCTTCTGGGTTACGCTACAGATCGCAAAGGGTACAAGCTACTCGACGTGAAGTCTATATCAGTGACTACTGCAAGGAAGAACATTAGATTTCACGAGTCGTTTACTGTTGAAGCGGATTACATGGAGAAGCTCCTACTCAACTGTTTCTTTGGTGGAGACTACGAGCTACCTGGGAACGTACCTGTCGTATCTATCAAGGCTGGAATGAGCACGTACACGACTGCAGTGGCGAAGGACAAAGCAAGAGTGTCGATCGGCATTGTGAACGAAGCGTCTTCAACTTCAAGCGAGCCAGCAGTAGCTCAACTGCAGCCGTATGACAAGCAGAAGAAAGGAAAACGGCAGAGATCCGAGGCGGATCGAAGCCTGCTCGTACGTGATGCGTGTGTTGACGAAGACTGGGTGCCACCCTCGTCAGCGAAAGCCGCTCGAGTGGAGCGTGCACCTCGAACTCGCGCAAGCGGAAGCCGTCTGTTCGCCTTCGAGACTACGTTATCAACAGTGTTATCGTTCACGATGATGTGGTTGTGCCTACAACCTACTAGCAAGCTCGGGCATCACCGCAGTGGCCGCAGTGGAGGCAGGCGATACTGGAAGAGCTTCAGTCGCTACGAGAACATAGGACTTGGACTCTTGAGCCCCGTACTGCTATGAGAGGCCGCAAAGCCATTACTTGTCGCTGGGTCTATGCTGTGAAGAGAGGTGAACACGACAAGATCAAACGCTTCAAAGCTCGACTTGTGATTCATGGGTTTAAGCAACTACATGGACTAGAGTACACTGAGACGTATGCACCTGTTATCCGGTTTGAGACGATTCGTGCGGCCATTTACTTCGCCCTCCAGCGCGGCTGGGTGATCCTACAGTATGATGTCAAGACCGCTTTCCTGTATGGACATCTCGACGAGCTAATCTTCATGGAGCAGCCTCCTGGTTTTCAACGTGAGCCGGACGTGTTTGTGTGTCGACTGTTACGAAGTCTCTACGGACTACGGCAAGCCCCCAATGTTTGGAACCGCACCCTGCACAAAGCGTTGCAGCGGCTTGGTTTCTCGAGATTGGATTCTGATTACTGTCTGTGCGCGCAAAAAGTGGGAGATAATGGAGAGATCTCAATGCGGATGACGGTGTATGTGGATGATGTATTGCTGCTTGGACCAGCTCTGTGTCGCAGCGTTGCACAGCAGCTTTCCCGTCAGTTCGAGCTGACAGAGCTTGGACCAGTGAAGTACTTACTTGGAGTTGAGATCATGATTGACCCTGTGCAGCAGCAGGTGATGTACTGTCAGCGCCAGTACGTGAAGGACATTTTGAAGAGATTTAGCATGGCTGAGTGTAATGGCTGCATGAAGCCAGAGGCAACGTCACCCCAGCAAGTGAGAGCGCCAACTGAACAGACATATCTACCGTACCGCGAGCTAGTGGGAGCCCTACAGTATTTGGTTTCGGCGTCCAGACCTGACATTGCTCATGCCGTTCGCAACCTTGGCAAGTACCTCGGCAACTACACGTACGAGCACTACTTCATGGCGAAGCGCGTGCTCCGATACCTGGCACATACCGTTAACTACGGGCTAGTGAATGACATTGGTGATGGTTCGAAAGTGAAGCTGACGAGCTTTACGGATGCGGACTACGCTAATGATGTGGACGATCGCAAGAGCGTCAGTGGATATGTGACGAAGCTCGATGGCAATGTGGTATCGTATGCTTCCCGGACGAAAGAGATCAATGCTCAAAGTACTACCGAAGCGGAGCACGTTACGATGAATGAAGGGACAAAGGACGTACTGTGGATGTTAGGCTGTATGGCGCCAATGATGAAATTGGCGCCAGTGTAAGCTGCGGGGCTTCCTGTGAGCTCGGTTTGAGCTGTCTGGTTGGTGGAACGATATATTAGCGGATTCTTTTGGCTCCAGTAACGCGCGAAATTGGATCAATATTGAGATTGTGATTGTATATTGTGATCTCGACACAATCAATTATTGTGATTGACAATATTGTCAATATCACAATTATTTTTCCACAGCCCTGGTAGGTGTGATATAAATATATGTGAAGAAGGGTAGGTACAAAGTCTACTCTGTATACTACAATCATCGCCGCTTTTGTGCTCACACGACTCAGATAGTCTGAATTAACTCCGTTGTCGTGAAAGTCTTCTAACGCAGCTAAATCATCACTACGTAACAGCTCCACAAAACCCATCCGATTAGTGCTGCACTGCACGTCTACAGTCCGATGTGAATCTATCACAGAGGTGTCAGAATAGTGTAGCAGCTGGTTGAGGCCAAGCCTTGCCCACCGCACTGGGCCGCACAGAGCGTGAGTCCAAGCTGGCATAGAAGTACGAGTACGTAATGTAGCAAACTCTATACATAACGTTCCTTTAGTTTTAGTCAGATTGAAATCTACCGGCTAGCAAGCATTACAACCAAGGTTAACAGGAAGCGCCAGCTTTCCTCGCGTGTGTTCGAGATATCGAGACCCACTACAAATAGGCCTCTTGAAGTCGATATCGATTATCACTTTGATTATAGCTATAATGCGTTTTGAGAAATTGTGTAGGTGCACCATACAACGTAGATGAGCGTTTGATAGTGCTAATTACTCGTCGGTTGCCAGTTCAATCAAATACAGAAAGTAGTTGGATGTTGTTGTGGGCCGATTGAGTGCTTTCGTTTGGGATTTCCTCATCACCCTCTATCTACAGTGCATTCGTTTCCAGGTAGAAGTCTCTGTACATCGAGTCGTTGTTGTGATCGACGGCTAGTGGACTTACCACGTTGGCGTTGATTGAAACAAACAGCCGCACAGGATCAGGCATTCCTGGGCAAGGCAAACCAAGCTCCCGTGTACCGTGAATATCGTGGATGCACATATCGAACTTTGCATGAAACCGACACGAACACGTCCTTGCAACAACTAGACATCCATCTGCTGGTATGTTTGCCACTGCATGCGTAACACGTGAATAGATTTAAACGGACGGTTTGACGCTTTTTGGGCGTCAATATAAAAAGCTTCAGCCGTGTAGCTTTTCACACCTCCATATCGGCTCCGAGGTCGATTAAGAATTTGAACTAATTTTGTTGGTAAGTCACTAGTCGTTGGAAATGGGGTACATCGAAGTTCGTTTTTGCGCACTGACAAATTGTACAATGTTTTGAGACGCTGTTGTACTGATGCACAACTCTTGAATGGCGTTTGCATTTTACGATAACTAGCCGCGATCTATCAAGTCGATCTACTATTTCCGCTAGCGTTGCTTTTATCGATTTGTTCACTAGTTTTAGCGTTCTGTGATACTGCACTAAAATAGGTTGTTCGTAGTTGCAACAGCGGAAGGGGTGAGAAACGATTGTCAGTTCGAAAACCGTGGATGCAAAATCTACTGTGCAACTACCAAAGCTGTAAACTGAAAATTATGAAATACTACCCATCTGTTTGAAATCATCCAGTAAAAAGCTAATCACATACAAACCATTTAATTAATCATCTCGGTGACCATGTCTGTCAGCAGCTAGCCGTCCGAGCGGGAGGAACCAAAATGCACAACGTCGTGAGATCAGCTGAAACTCCTTGGGCGATGCGATGACTAAATACTGGTTCTAGCACCATGGGCGCTGCATCGTGACAAAGCCCGCTTGCTGCAGCGCGTGAACCTTCTGACACTCATTTCTTCAACAAAATTGAATTTCTATACTTTTGAAGACCCTAATTATCTGTCGTGCTGTAATAAAAGAGGCAGCCAGGACTGAGACCTTCCTACAGCTAAGGGCCGTTATTAGCGAAAACTTGCTAGTGGACGAGCTCTTTGGTGGATCGCACTTTTTATGCATGTCCAACCACGCCACCCGCTACGAACGGAGCTAAACTTAGTGGTCGGTACAGGTGGATCAGTTGAGGGCGGGATGGTTGACATCTAGGTTGAAGACATCTGTTTAGATCTAAAAGCGCGCTACAGCAAGTCCACTTTCTTTTCGACGCTTTCAACGACAGAAATTGAAAACTCGTACAGCGCAGACATGATCGCGCAAGACGTCATCTCCGTCGCTCGACGCCTTCGACAACAAAAGAACACTCGCCTTGCACTACTTCTCTTTGCACTGACGTGGCGACGACCAAGGAAGCCGAGAGTGTCACGGCAGCGGGTCGATGTGGACTATGAAGTCGAGATGTTACTAAATGAAAACATGTTTGAACGGACATTTCAGTATTGTATCGACTACTGACGTCCTTCCACATATCACGAAGTTTTGCTGCGTCATGAGGTACAATAATGGCTGGGTTGCACTTGGCAAACAAGGGGAGCGTCGAGTTGAGTTTGCCGAATTCAGCTTGATCGCTAAGATAGGCGTCATGAAAGCCCGTCCAAAACGAGGAGCTGGCATGGGTTTGGTTAGAATCTAGCTCTGCACGAGTTGGTTTGCCGTCAATTTCGTGCACTCGGCCCGCAAAAGTCTCAGAAAACATGACGTTCAGAAGGCGTATCATACAGTGTCGAGTACGTCTTTTGATTCCAGCGGCAACTGGTATCTTGGACGGACCGTCTTCAACTCCAAGTCTCTGCATTTCAGTGAATACACGCTTTTGCTGCATGAGTAGCGCTACGTACCCAACCTTGTGGTCATTGCAGTCAGATCCCTTCTTAACAATGCGAAGCTGCCGCAAGTAGCACTCAGTCCGCAACTGCTTGGCTCCAAACGTCGTCAATTTTGCTTCAGCATCCTCTGGGGTAACAGTTGCGTCGAAGAGGATATCGGCGATGCTAGGCATAACCTGTTGAGTTGCAGCGCTGGATGACATATTGGACAGTGTACGCCGGAGAGCTGAGGCGATTGTGATCTTGAGTAGAAAAGATGGAGTGAACACGACAGTGCCGTGCAAAGATACTATTCTATCCCGTTGCTATCTCTACCTCTGACGTGGTTCACCCCAGCATGGTGTGTATTCCCTCCGTCCACCCTCCGTCCACGGCCACCACCCCTAATTTTCGACGGTGGACGTGGATCTGATTCCGTTTTGGTGGCCCCATCCGGTGTCCACCAACATGTGCATCCCTGGGATTCTATTGGGCCACTAGAGCCAAATCCACCATTTTTCGCTTGCTAATAACGGCCCTAAGCCTTTAGTTCTGATCGTCTGTATCATGGCAAACGTTTGTGGCCATACAACTTGTTCTGTCCATGTCACCAGTATTACGTAATCTTAAACCAGCTGTTTATGTTGCAAAATTTAGCTCTGCGTTTCTCAAACTGTGGTGCGCGCGGCGCGCGCAAAAGGTCTCTTAGCGTACTACATGGAGCTGCGTGTGTGTTCTGTGCACGCACAAGCGACATATAGTTTCAAATTGGATTAATGCTATATGTGGTAGCAAAAACGAAGATGGATCGAGTAATTTAGATAGCGATTAATCCTAGGAGTGGCCAACTTTTTGCTGACTTAGCCATTCGCGGAAATGATGGCGCTCTTGAGCTGGAGCATAAGGTGGTTCTCGTATCATTGCAATTAGTCGCTGCATTTCAGCTGCAGCGTCAGGATCAGGATCAAACTTTGCAATATAATCAGCTGTAGGGGGCTCAGTCAATGTCAGATTGGCGAGCGTCGTCGTTCTCGATACCGCGACGTAAATCGTTTGCGGTGGTACACCTCCAATTCGAGTTAGACGACAGACGACAACACCAATATGCATGTCTCTCCCTGCAATTTCTCAGTCGCGCAGGCAAAAGCGGGTACTAGAGGGAACTGCTTCACTGTTATAGAAGCTCTTCCCCGTCGTTGTCTACGAGAAGAGCGACATCAAATATATTCCACTGCAACTTAACCACGCTTGATGGCCATGTGTAAATCTGAATAAAATCGTAGATATCCCCAGTGCCAGTGGCCTGCGGTGAAGGAATCACTGCCTCTACTGCAGCTTGTGGCATCGTCTCTGGTCATGTACGTTTCGTACCATGTAGCAGCGCTTTTCTTGACGCACTGGCCTAGTTCACGAGCCAGATCTGAATCATCACCCTCCAGGTTGTAGCCCTTGAAAGTGAAGTACGACTCGAATTGAAAGACAAAGCTTTTCAGCTTTTGGCCATCAATATCTCCATCAAAAGTCGGTGGCTTGGTGTCCATCTTCCGCCATTTGCGGGTCGTCGGCGCGGTCATGTCGACATCCGTCTCGCCATTAGGCGTTGGCTGATGAATCGGAGTTGCCGCCGCCGTAGGCCGCTCCATCTGGGCGACTGCATTGGCAGTTTGCTGAACCAGCTCCTGAAGCTGGTTCACCACGCCTATCTGCGTCTGCAGATCGGCGACAGCAGCAGCAGTCTGTGCTGCAAAGTCTTGAAATTGCGAAGCGGTTGCCGCACTTTGCTGGGTTGCCTACTGTGTCGCTGCAACCGTCTGTACGAGCGAGTTGATTCCGTCGAAAATGTGGTCAAGACGCTGGTTGACTTGGCCCAGGTGCTCGCCCATGTCGTTCAACGTCTCCTCAACACGCTGCACACGTTCGTCGATGGGGTTCCGAGTGCCGTCTTCAATCGCGAAGCGTCGCTCAGCACGGCTTCTGGTTTCCATCTTGGTCGTTGGTCAGCAATTTCTACTATGTCGCAATAAGTCGTCACTTATTGTGTATGGTAGCACTAAGCAGAGGAATTCGTAGTACTTCAGCACTCAGGCAAGATGCCGTCGAAGTTGACTGTTAGTACTTGAGGGTAAATTGAGATCTGATTGAGTTTGTTGTGTTCGCTAGCTAGTTTCCACTGCCTACTTACACTACTCTTCATGCAATATACAGAACAGGACTTGAGCAGCAACTTCAAGCCGAGCTCGGGTTCATCTTCAAGTTCCAAAGCTTATAGCGGAGCCCAGATGCCGCTTTCACCGTTTGAAACCTTTATCTTCAAGACCCAAACTCCGCTGTTGATGTTGTCCGCGATTTGCGTCTTGAAGAACTCGTGACAGAGATCGACTCTTGTTATGCCTTTTTCGACGAATTAGTGAGTGGATCTGGTCTGTCTACAATGTCTTTGGGGGAGGTAAACTCTACCCATTGGTGCAATATTAGCGGTGCGTTAGAGTACCAGCAAAAGCTGCTGAAATACGTGCTTCCGTGCGATCTGGAGAAGGCCGCTCGTGTCACCTGGAAGGCTTTTGAGTTTCAGCATCATCAAAGGGACCGTCAAGTTTTCAGTGGATTTGGTCATCCCAAAGACACGGTAGCAATCCGTTTCCGCTCGGTACGCCTGTATCCGTAGTACAGAGACTTGCTTTTAGACGGTTCTTTGATTTGGAAGATGTACACTGAAGGAGAGGACGTATTCGGCGGGATGCATTCGGCGCTTACTGGATGGAGTAGCCTTCGACCACTGCCTGATGGAATAAGGACTCACTGTGAAGTTTGTATTCGCCAATTCCCAATTCTCATCAATGCATCATCGTCGATAGGTAAGGAGTTTCATCACTTTCTCCACGTTACTATCGACACGGACAAATATTCGATGTTGAGTAGTATTCACGACCGACCTCATACCCAGTCAGTGCATGTGATTTAGACAAGCTTGATGCGCTTGTCATGAAGAATGATTTCCATGCCATATTGTTTGGAACCGACTCGCTTCTACGATCCACCTTTGCTCTACGTCCTCCAAGCACACAAGAAGTTCCAATGCATAGAAAGCACCTTATTGAAATACAGGAGGAAAAGGATGAGAGCATTTTTACGAGTGAAGACCATTATAATTTTAAAGCTTCAAGAGCGGGGTAATGCGTGATAAGCTTAAGAAGAGATGACAAATAACCGTAAAACCGAGTTGAAATGGCAGCACAACAAATATGTGGAATATACCCGAAATACTAGAATGGAAGAACATACTACTCATATCTTGTTCAAAATTCAAATACGATGTCAATGACTTCATCACGAAGTCATGGGCCTCTTCCTTGAATTATTCATGCATCCTACGGCGTTATTAAACACGAAGATAGACACCAAGGTCCGTGACATAGAACAAGATCCGAGACAAGTGGAAAATGCTATAACAAGAAGAGGAAAATAATAAAACTTGTATTCCTGAAGCTCCCCATCGTTAAGTTTCTAAACTCATTTTTTCCAGTCGGACTGGGGTTTCCAACTACCCGCACACGCCCAACAGCAACAGCATGTTAGCTTGCAAGACTATAAGTCGTTCTCAGGGTGGAGACAGCACTAATGGCCGTGCATTCATGAGCTCTTATGTTGAAGTTGGTCTGGCGTGCGTGCGATTGATGCTTCTGGGGGTCCGTTCAGCGACGTTTCATCGTACACAATGCTTACATTATTTTCAGCATACAAAGTCCTATACTAACCATGTTGAAGTTGAAAACCCGTAGAAGGCTCCTCTTCATTCAGCGAATCACTCTCCAATCTTCCTCCAAGCGATCAGGCAGAAACTCAAGACTACTCAAGACTACTCAAGACTACCTCACAATGGTTGCGCGAGCTGCTGCGAAGAAAGGCTCCGTGTGGCTGAGCGATCCCTCCGTATGTCTCTCTCCTCGTCTATCTACTTCAACGTGTAGCTAACCTCATTCTTCTGCCACAGACGTACCCACTGCTCTGTGCTCTAGGAGCGGCAACGCTCTTGTGCGCCGCGACTGGTGTGCGCCACCTGACCACGAGCCCTGACGTCAAGTGGGACCGCGAAGTCCGCAAGCACCCGGATATGGCGCTTAAGGACCGCTCCGAGTGGCGCTCGCACCGCAAGTACATCTCGAGTCTGCACTCGAACGCTGTCAACGCTTATCACGACAAGTAGACGTCTGCTCTTCATCCGCAGTCGCCATCATCCTCTCCGTTCAACCGTGTATCAAACACTAAACAAACAATAATACCACGCCGTGTTGACTCTCTCATTTTGTTTTAAACACTTCTTCATAGTTTTCAGGATCTTTAAAAAGTTCTCGAAGCAGATCATGAGTCAGTGCGTGGCCTGGACTCGTCGCGAAGAAATAGCCATGCAGAGGGAGACCAGCGAGACCGATATCACCGATACAGTCCAGCATCTTGTGCCGTGTCCACTCGTCGGAGAAACGCAGTCCGTCTTTGTTTAAAACACCTGATTGGCCGTCTTTGGCGAATACAACGGCGTTGTCGAGGGATCCGCCACGTGCCAAGCCATTCGCTTGCATCCACTCGATCTCCTCCTCGAACGTGAAGGTTCTGGCCGATGCAATCTCGCGGTGGAATGCGTCAAGCGTAAAGTCCGGATCAGAGCCCAACGAGAAGCGACAGAACGTCGTGCCCAGCTGCTTGTGAGCGAAATTCACCTGCACCGACATATGCAGCGTCGGAGCTTGTAAGGACGACGGAGAGTTACTGAGATCTTCGACCATAGGAAGCAGCCACGCCGCCTTATCCTGTTTAAGAACTTGCACTGGTCGCTTTATGCGCAGATATTTGAGTACTGCACCGTGCTGCACCTCAACTCCCACACGTCGGATTCCCTCAACGTACTCGATACTACTGCCGTCTAGAACTGGCAGCTCGACGCTGGAGTGTTGCCTGCTCTCTTCAAAGCCAATAAAAGTGTTGGAGATTCGAGACGCCACTAACGCGGCCATTAAGTGCTCGGCAGTCGACACAAACGTGCCGTTGGCAGTGAGCTGTGTGCACAATTGGCTCTTGCGAGCATCCACGTTCGCGATGAGAGCAGGGATGGAATGTTGAGATTCAGTGCGGAAGACGATGCCTGAGTCTGCAGGTGCCGGGAGAACGCGGATCGTCACCTTCTCGCCCGAGTGGAGCCCCACGCCCGTGAAGCGCAGAGGCTGCTTGAGCGTGCGCTGCCAGCGGCTCATGGATTTTTTTTACCAATAATTGATACCATATCAATAATTATTGCATTATTGCTTTGGTACAGTAATGCACTCCGTTTTCACGGTGATTTGACAATATAGAATTTGAAAACACATCAGGTTTCAACTTTGAAACCCGACGATATTTGTCAAAATAAGCATTACATTCGGCAGTTTATCATAGGTCCAAGGGAGTGAAAACTGGGGTGCAGTACTGTACACACCAAGATTTTGCGGTAGTTTTGTTCCAATAAAAAAGCTGCACACAGGTGGCGTACTGAGTGTAGCGCTTGAAACGGGGAGGTCAGTTTTGAGTTTGAGAGAGAGAGAGAGAGAGAGAGACTGGAACGGCGAGTGTCTATCTGGCGAAGAGAACTTTTGGGCTAGCGATATAGAAACCAACCCAGCAAGGTCGGACCAAGTAATCTTAGGCACGGATCGCTGCACGGAAGTCCGAGATTGCAACATTGTGGTGGACTCCTGGTAATATGTTATTTAGCGAGCTGATTCTATTTTAAAACAACCGCTCCCCGTGTGAACGCTGAGTATAAAAGCATTTCCTCGCCACGCTTTTAACATTATCATAGTAACGCTGCTTCTGTTTCGAGGTGTGAGACTGGATTGCGTTAGTGGCCTTTAGGCGTGGAGCTAGCTAATCGTGTCTGGAGCTGATCCAGCGCAGCAGATGACGCACAAAGGCAACGGCCACGCCGCATGGATCGCGTGCCGAACAGAAGCATGGAAAACGGACGCTGACTACTTCGGTTTCAGCTGACAAAAGCTAAAACGAAGTGGAGCTGAGCAGACCAGCAATCTTACCATAGTGTCAATGACGCTGTCATAGCTGGCGGTGACATACAATTGGTATTCTTGACAGCCGTATGACACACTTACAGCTTGAGCATGAGCTTCACTTCAACGTGCCGCCTGTCCCCTTACAATTTTAATTAAGAATCATGAATCACAATCAGGTTGCGACAAGATCGGCCCTATACAGACAACTGACGCTTCGTGTCAGCCTTAGCGACCTCCATGCCTGACTGAATATCATTTAAGCTTGACAGTCCGGCACTTCTGAGGAGCTCACATAACCTACAAGTGCATTGTTTAGACTCAAAAGATGAACTGAACTTCTCGACCGTTTTCGCTATATCATCCTGCGATACATTTTCCTTCCGTCCTTTCTGCTTGGCCCAATCGATGTAATCAACACCAATTTATCTATACTGAAACCCAGTCATCCAAGTTGAACTGACTGATCAACAAGGTATCCATTCGACTTTCTTCCGCATAATTCGGTCTCACTCAGTCGAGAACGTCCGGCATGGCGGAAGCGTCGCCGCCGAGGAAACCGGCGGCTCTACTGGAGCCAGAGCGCGCGCTGTCCAGCCATGCTGCGAGTGTTCGAGTCGCGCTCACTCCCACTCGCTCTCACAAGAAGCGTCGCGGCCGGAAGCCCATTATGAGCAGCAGACGCTTCGAGAACGAGTACATGGCGGCGTCGCCAGCGGAACTCAACGCAATGCACAAGATCCGCAAGCTGCACAAACGACAGGAACAAGAACAGGTCCGTACAGCCAGACAGAGGTTTGTACCGGACAGTGAGGACGAAGAGCCCTCTACTGCTTCTTCTTCCTTGAGATTCGTGACGGTACCGCCGAAGCTCGTAACGAGCAAGTCAGAGGGACGAGCCAATGAATTACCGAGTCGAAGGAGACAATTGCAGCACCAGCAGATCCTCCATCCTATAACTCAAACGACAGAGAAGCCTAACTCGAGAGAAAAGCTGGTAAGAAAGCGCGTTGGTGCAGCTACAGACATTAATCGGAGCTTCCGATCGCTTTCTTCGACGTCGTCACATGCGAGTGAAGCTGCTGCAGCGGCGTTTGAACAGGGTCTGTTGTCTTCTCAGACGTTTTCGACCTCTGCGGTATTAAGTGACGACGCACTGGAAAAGGTAGCTCGTCGAGCGAAGCAGCAGCTTGAGACGGTATCTAAACGTCATGAGATGATTGGAAAGTGGAAGCGAATGGCACGATCCAAGCCTGGCTGTCAGGTGTTTGAGTCCCTCAGTAAGGCCAAAGATCAGTTCAGCGTCGTGGTCAAGATGAACTTACCGTGCAGTCTACGAGAGATCATGAGTGTCTTCTCCACGGACAATGAAGCCGAGTTCCACCGCAGTATGGAGGCGGTTTTTGGAGATCAGTATGTCTACGGAGTCAATGTACGCACTGTGGACTGCTCTACATACACTGGAGGTGCCAATACCTTGCCTTTTAGAGGACATCGTCGAGCTTCTGAACCTTCAGCACGACGAGTCAGTGAAGGAGCACGTAATTCAAGGACTCCACCGTTAAGATCAGCCAGATTGAAGCTGAATGCTGTGTCTCTGATGCAGAAGCATCGACTAGTATGGAAGCAGCGCAACATGACGTTCTTGGACTATCTGGAGGAGGATATTGAGAGTAAATCGGTCACTCGAGTGATGCAGACGATGGATATGCACGACGAAGAGCTCGAGTTCAGCTCCGTCACCATGTCGTCACCAACCACTGCGTCAAGCAGTCAGGAAAACTATTATCAACATAACCAGCACGCAGACGATTTACACCAAGAACTGAAAGGTATTCTAGCGGGGTATGTCATCCAGGAAGACTCAGAGGACAAGTGCACGAGGCTTTTCTTCTACGCGACGCACCGCCATCGCTCCACGGGTCACACACAGACAAGGATGCCTCGCTCTGCCGTCCAACTCTTACGTGCTATGGTCAACAAGGTCTGTCTGCTGGAGAGCGTTGTGCTGCGTCGACGCTTGGGGTATTACCCGTTATCTCGACTGCCTACTACACACGACGAGGCCACGATGGCGTCGTACTGCGCTACATGCTACACTCCGTTCAGCATGCTACGCAAGAAATATTTTTGTAGATTATGTGGCCACTACACGTGTCGAAAATGCTCGAGCTTGCAGGATGTGGAGAAGACGGTGGGGACTGTGGAGAAACACCGCGTCTGTGTGTCTTGTGTGCGTCGTGTGAGCTACTGCGTGTTCAGTGTGTGTGCCTTCCCGCCCAATGTAGCGCTCAATGCCAGTGGCAGCAATTGGACGTGGGCGAGATCCCAGCAACTAACGGAGATCGAGGCGGAGGAAGAAGAAGACGATTTCGACCCGCCTATTATGGACGATCTCGCCTCGGAGGACATTGAAGATGTTGAAGTACTCAAAACCCCTCAACCCGGAGCTCTTACGGGCTTTGTGACCGATTTATTGCACGGGAAAGACAAGAAACAGGAGCTTAAACAGCAAGAACTCGCTGCCCAAAGGAAGCAGCGACTGCAACTCACTATTGACGACCTCGGCTCGTGGACCCCAGGACCAATTTTTGACAACCAGAGCACGCCGAAGGAGTCGATCTCTCTTCTTGACAGCTTCTGTACGTCGCATTCATCTGCCAGTTCACGATCGCGAGACTTACCGTCGTGGCTTTCTCCTACGCCAATGGGAGCGTAAGATAACGAACTTATCAAGTCAAGATATTTTTTACTTCCTCGATCGAAGAGGAGAACAAGAATGTACATGTAGCACAGCTAGCAGCGTATACTGTTGAGTGTATACGTTAACCTGTACTTTCGAATTAAACACTTTCAAGTTGAAGATGCCCAACCTCATGAATACTACAACGTGTATGATTCATTTTGCATGTACACACTAGCTGGCCACTAGCGCTAGTCTTCGTGAGGTATTACAGGGAGGATGGCGTCGATCTCTTCCTGAGCAACCCCAGCATTTTGAAGTCGTTTCCGCGCCATTGCCGTCTCCTCCGCGACTTTGACTCTCTTGAGGTCATTGAGAACGGAAGCGTGCAGCTCTGCCTTCTTTTCCATTGCCTCTTTCTTCCTTCGCTCCAATTCCTTCAGTTGGGCTGCTTGGTTTGCCTGGTGTTCGATTAGGTTTTTGACATCCTTATCCAAGCGAGTAAAAGTCACGTCGACGGAGTTCATCCACGCAGCTATTGCGTCCAGTCGTTTGGGGCCAAAAAGCTTCTCAAGGGAGACGGAAGGACTGACAGTCTCGCTTTTCTTCTGGTTAATTGCCTTGATCTTCTCCCGGTTGCTCTGTGTGTCTTCTAGCACGCGATCGCGCGTCACCCACTCGTCTGGTCGGTCAGAGTCCACCAGGTACTGTACCAACACCTGGGCTGGATTTGCTGTTTCTGTCTCGGCGTCACGCAACTCCTTCACCTTCGCATCCAGCAGTGACAAGCCATGCGAGACCAGCACAGCGTCACCGATCATGATGGTCATCTTGAGATAATCTTTATAGGTCTCAACCTACAAAATCGTTTCCTACAGTTTAGCTATAGGTCGCGTGGCCATTGTCGTCAGCCAATCACAATCTCCGAGGATAGACGATGAGTCCACATAGCAATCCTCAAGCATGCACGATACATGAGCTACAACAGGGGTGTGCGCTGCGTCTTGATGTCTACAACCTTCGTTTTCTGTTTATTAGTGCACTATTACAAAGTTGGCAGGAGGATGGCGAGGTTTGAGACGTTCTGGCATAAACAAGCGACGGATGTTGTAATCTTTCTCGTCGTCCTGCCCTCTATCATTTTCATCACTGACGATCGTAAAAAATTCTATATCCCACGACGCCGCTATCTAGCAGCGGCGGGTAGAATTGCATCGATCTCTTCCTGCGAGATACCTGCGTCTTTGAGTCTCTTGCGTGCCATGGCGGTCTCCTCAGCCACCTTAACTCTCTTGAGATCCCTAGCAACTTCCACCTCCAGCTCGGCCTTGTGCACGTCAGCTTCCGCTTTCCTCTTCCTCAGCTCAACAGCCCCAACCTCCTGACTAATCTTCTCGCGAACGAGATCCTTCACCTGCTTGTCGAGCTGTGTGAGTGAATCGTCCAGCGCCTTCATCCAGCCAATCATAGACACGAGTCGCTCCGATCCAGGCAGCGTGGTTGGTCTGTTATTAGTCGCTGTGTCCTTTTGCATCGGGTGCGCGGCATTTTGCACCAGCAGCGCGTCCTTGGCCTTCTTCTGGCGCTCGCGGTTATGCGGCGTGTCCTCCAGCACGTTCTCCTGGGTTATCCACTCATCCCAACCATCGGACCAGCCCGTAAAGTGCACAAAGTACTTGCTAACGTCGCCTGTTGTCTCAATCTTAAGCACTTCGGCGTCAAAGATGAGCAGGTCGTAGTATACGAGCACCGTGTCGCCCACCTTGATCCCCATCTCGTTCGCTAAAGTTCAAATGCATGAAGGCTCTGGCTAGAAAAATGATTAGCGGAAAATAAATTTGAATATCAGCCAATCAAAATCGTTAATTAAGCGACCAGTCAAAAATCCCCTACCTAGACCAATAGACCCGACCGACTCGACCAGCGCCCAACAAGCGCTTCACGATGGCCACCAAGGGCGAGCACGAGAAGCCGGAGACGGTGGACGACGAGCACCAGCCGGTCTGCAGTCTCTGTGTGCGTTATAACACTCAAAAACTCTTATTAACTGCGCTAGTGGCTGCTGTCGACAGATTGTCAAGAAGGTTCGTCTGGATGTGGACGCCAAAGTGACGGAGGACGTTAAGAAGGTTAAAATCGACGAGAATGCCGCCCCACAACCAGAAGTCGGCGGCCACGAGGTCCGTACGAATCGTATTGTGCGATTTAGATTGAAAAATACGTCGCTAACGGGATAAATTCAATGTTTAAAGTCAGCGGAGAAGAACTCAGCGTCCTCGTCGCCCGTGCAGGATGCAGGCTCTGACACTAAGGAGAAAGAGGAGAAGGAGGTCAAACCTAACACCACTGGAAGCGCCTTCGGTGGATTCAGTGCCTTTAGTGGCCAAAACGCCTTCGCAGGTTTCACGGCGTCTGGCAGTGTTAACGGGTTTAGCACCAAGGCTTCGTCCTCGACGGAATCAGGTTTCGGAGGGTTTGCCACTAAGGCGACAAGTGGATTTGGAGGCTCCACACCGTCATCGAGTGACGCGACGAGCAGTTCGAGTGGATTTGCATCCTTCCAGAGCGACTCCACCGTGACGTTCGCGTCGTTCGCAGCAGCACAATCGAGTACGGATGACTTCGGAGCCAAGGCCTCGTCAGCTTCAGCTACCGATTTCTCTGACGCTGAAGTGGCCAAGAAGGCGGAGCCTGTTGTACCAGCACTGACAGAAGCAGAGGTACATTCCTGTTAGAAATGTTTCTAACGAAGACATGTTATTTCTAACGTTACAATGATGCTATCAGCTGGCAAACGGAGAAGAAGGAGAACAGATCTTGGTCGAGGTAAGTTTTGCTGTTTGATCGGAATTAAAATTGATGATCCAAGATAACATTAACGTTTTTTTATTTTTCGGTTAATAGAAACGTGCGAAGCTGTTCAAATTGGTGGAGAAGGACTACACAGAAGTCGGCATTGGCCCATTGCGGGTTCTGAACGCAAAGGACGCAAAGGCTGATGACGAGAAGGTGACTGCGCGTATAGTGATGCGACGTGAGTCGTACCCACACGGACCTGGTACCAAACTGCTGATGAACACCAGCTTGGGCTCCTGTCTACTATGTGAGAAGAAGACAGAGAAGACGATGCTTCTGACAGTGTTGGAGGCGAACGAGGACCCGGAAGCTGAGAAGAAATTCAACCCCGTGACGTATCTGATGCGTTTCGGAAGCCCCGAGGATCTGGACGCTGTGATGACGCGGATCCAGTCGCACATGCACTCGTCGACAGCAGTCGCGTCATCCAGTTGAGGCCGAGACTTGTCTAGCTTTGAGCTGTAGAGCTCAGCTCCAAGCCGTGTAGCGATATTAGTCCAGCCGACAAGAAGTCACAAGTGCTGGGTGCATGCCGGTCGGGTCGGCAGCGTAAGAATTCGTAGCTATGCCGCGGTATACGACGGGCTCAACACCGACGACATGGCAACGTAGCGCGCAGTTATCCGTTAGATAAACAAGTTGCAGGTTGAACCATTTCTTCGGTACTTCTCGTCAACCTGGAAGATACTTCCTTTGTTTAAAATGTGTACCAGATCGGTGGTACTACTTGATATATGCACGTTTCGTCATCTGTCAGACGTAAAAAGTAAAAATGATCTGACCAATCACATGTGTCCAAAGTGGTATTTACGCACTGACGGATTGCCGCCTAAAACGATTGGAGCGTGCTGAGGAGCTCTCTTCGTGGCAGTTTTAGAGTCGATCATTCTGCAATTGTCTCCTCAAGTCTCTTCAGTTTTTTTTTATCGTATTGAACGTGCAGAACACAAGCTCCCTCTTCTGAGAAACCATAAATCATGCGGAAGACAGCTGCATCCGGAATCATTATATGCAACCACCGAGTCCAGCCAATCCAAGCGTGTACGTATACATGATTGTATGTCTACATATCTACATGTTGTTGTATATCTGTATCTGGAGTGCGATGATGAAAACAGTGACTGATTTGGCTTGAACCAACTAGCCGTGAAGAATCGAATATATCACTATCACCCATAAAATGAGCTCTCCACCTCATTTCTATGTTTTTTTGTACATCGAGAGGAGTGATGACCACATACTTTGGTCCGTGTTCATGATCTGCCTTATGGCAATGAAATTGCTCAAAGAACTGACCTCTCTTACTCATCTTGTATACCATACATGTATGTATATATCAGCTTCTTCATACTCCACGCCGGCAATGTTCTGCAGCCTACTGGGTCGACGGTCAAGGTGTACGCGGCTCTCCTCTGAATTGCGCTGAAAAGTTCGACGAGGGGGAGTCTGCTGTGTGCATTGGAGCCGTCACTGCCTGGTGGGTGAGCATTTGTAATTGGACCCGGTACTTTTTCACAGAAGCAAGAGTAACAGCGAGCTTACTACGGATCTCGCTGCTGTGTGCATTTCGAGCTCTCGGGTCTTCTGTTTGATCCGCTTACGGGTGGTGATAGTGGGAGATTGGGGAGTCTCGGGTGCCTGGTGCGGCGAAGTCAACATAGCTGCTTATATCTCTTTTGATGTATGTTGTATGTATTGGGTGCCTATGGTGGTTGTTGATGATTTAAACATTCATGCACCACTCTGAAAGGAGTCGCCGAGAGTTTACTCGAAGCGGTCTTTGTGTCGATAAACCGAACACCTAAAGAATCGGATGAAACAACCATGGGATCTGTATATTGGACTGTGTGTCGCCGAGGAGGATACCTACTTATCATTACCACCTAAACTAACCCTTTTGGTCTTCGGACAAACGTGTGGACTTCCTACACCTGTGTTTCTGAGGCGACATGTATCAAGTTGTATTTTTCATTTTTTTTATATTTCTTTGGAAGTGTTGGAAGAAGAGTGACGATAAACTTGTTTTAGGATTCCCCTTCATGAGAGCCGCCTACATCGGCATATATGATGAGCATCCATCATCCGACTTCTCTCCAAACACTCCAATCCTATGTTTATTACCGTGGACGACAATGATTAAAACTATCCAACACAGACCTGTTCTGAAGCAACGTGTGGATACCTTTAACATGCATCACCATATGAGTCATCCCAACTTCACATGCATCTAAACTCTCAAGGCAATGATTATAAAATTCTCAGACCTGTTCTGAAATCACGTGTGGAAACCATAACATGCATCACCATATGAGCCTTCGAATTCGTAGCCTAGTGTTTAAAACTGCAAATTTACAAGAGTCATTCTTTACTTCTCAAAAAAATCTGCATCAACTTGTTCCTTTGACTGCTGCGGCTGCTAGCGTATCAAGAATAATAGTCTTGGCTCGTTGATAGTCAGCCGGATCGAGTGAGTACAGATCCTCTCGAGAACGATCTCCGTAGCGCCCAAACTCTTCCAAATCACTTGATCTCAATATCTGCTCAGCCACTGTACGTTGCAACTGCTGCATCTGCGCTGGCGCTAACGTATCTTGCGCAAGTGCCAGCAGTTCAAACGCTTGGCCGGCAAAGCGTAAAGACTCGAGACGCAGCGTCTCCACTGGCCACCCATCATGTCCGGGCAGCACAAAGTACATGTCCCCCACCTTCCACATCGGAGCGCGCCACCGTAAATCATCCCAAGGTCTTGAAGGCCAGAGGCAATAATTCCATCGTAAGAACCCGTCAAGCTCGAAGAAGAATGTGAGGTATCCAACGAGCTCGCCTTCAACCAGTGGCGACGACACGAATTGATTCGGGAAGGCTGGACCGCAGCAAACGTACCAGCAGACGTGGCCTCCACGCGCCCTCGCATCGTTCGCCAAGCGTCGAGTAACCTCCAGATCAGCACAAGCCAATGGCAACAACGGCACGTAATCTGCTACTTGAGGTGGATTGTACGCTGGAGAGAAGAACTCGGAGTGATTCACAGCCAGTTTAATACGGAAATTGGGCGCTAGACGCTGCATGAAGCGCAGTTGTTCGTGGAAGACGGCGACGTCACGTGGTTCGTCTGCACAGATCCGAACGCGATCCGCGATTTCTAACGCCACGCAATGAGCGTAGAACTGTTCAATGAAGGCTTCCACCTCGGACACACGCTTCAAGTACCGTACACGTTGAGTTGTGCGGTTTTGACAGCGGATACGCCAGCCGTCAATGACAAATGCTGGCGCTTGAGACGCCGAGGACGGAGAACTAGACTTGTTCTGTTCCTGACCAGGAGATGACCCATTAGTGGGGGAGCCGGACGAAGAGCGACGACGCGTCTCGGACGCAGGAGCTGGATCAGGTGCAGATGCTGTCGGTGGAGGTCGAAGATGATGCGCAGTGAGCTCAGCAGGAGCGTTAAAGCCTGCCACGGGGTCTCTCCATACCGACAGAAGACCAAATACCTCGATCTCATGGTCTAAACGATGACGACCGCCGAGTTCCAGTAGTCGATCGAAGTGTGTAAAGTCGATAGTCAACGGGATATTATGCGCTGGATCCTCATACACCTCCAGTATGGCGTGCTCAAACAACGCAGAGGCATTCTGTTCCTCCATGTAACACTGCTGACCTGCCCAGGGCATCTCCGTAGCGACCACAGACAGACATTTCTGACCCATTTCTGATAATGGAGCCATGTACCGATCGATAAGTTCAAAATGGCGATCACTCCACAATGCCACGTGATGTGCACGAGCCACCGCAGTCCAGTGTTGCCACAGATCCAAGCGGAAACGCCAGTTACTTGGAACTGGAAGACGAACGTCCACTACACGCATTGCGAAGCTACTGGACCAGGTCAAATGTTCGTCTTTGAAGCCTGCGTCTTGAGTAAACACACGTAGCGGCAGTTCATAGATCCCTGGGTCTAAATTCTCGGCAATCCGAACCCTCAAATACACTGCGTGTTCCCTGCTGGCCTTGCTACTGACTCCAGTACGTTGCAAAGTCTCCATGACCAGATCCGAGTTTTCGTCCTCCACAGTCCCCACTAGGAATACTTCCACCTTTAACAGATGAGGAGGCACGAATCTCGAGTCCACGGCCACTCGGGCTCGAGGTCCGTGGCCCAATGGTAACATCCAATTAGTTGTATCGGTTGTTAGTAGGAAAGGAACGTTAGATTTGAGTCTCAATTGCAGTCCAGTGACTTCATTCCTCGCTGCGGTGACTCTCACGCCCTCAGGAATCTCCACGTGGGCTGTGGATGACGCCCAGGCCACACGTCGATTGCCTTGATGCTGAGAACTTCCTGTGTTGTTGGTATCCTTTGTATTTTGAGCCTGATTCTTCTCTGATTCTTCGTCGAAAGGCTCGTCGTCCTCCATGTCGGCGTTTGGGTCAATACTAGTCATTGTTTTGGACATTGCGGGGGCGAATTGTGTCAATAGCCACATAGTGTGGTTGGAGGACGAGTGGCCAATTAGAGAAGCGTCCACTACGTCGAACGAGAAGCTTGTACGTGGTGGCACGGCGATGTTAATGTTGTTAGGGTCTTGATACGGTAATTGACGAGCAAAATCGTCGAAGGAGTTGGCGCGACTGGAGCCTCGTTGTCCTTCGTGTTGCTCTAGATGCTGCTCATGCTGCTCCAAGTGGTTCTCGATCTCTAGAGATGACGAAGAACTCATGGACTCATCGTTCGACATGGACGCGTCATCGTCTGCGTGCTCGTCGGGCGCTGTGAAACTCCCGCTAGCGGAGCGAATGCGCTCGTCCACGCCGCTGCTCTGGCGAGAGAAGCCCCCGCTCTGCTGCGTTGAGGTGCCGCTCGGGGACGACATGAGTGGATCGCTTATGCGACTTTCGGGAGCTGACTCATACAGATTACCCTCTCAACTATTATATACTAATGTAAAGGAATAAGAAGAATTTCATAAGATGTCACTTACAGGATCCTTTTATCAGTCATATTATCACTATTCCGGATCATACACTTTATTACCACTAAAAAAACTATGGTGCTGTTCGTGCTGTACGTCAAGGCGGAGCTGGAGAACGTGGAGACGCTGGCGGCGCCGCCTCTGCACCGCTGGTGCCTCGATGTGAAGGAGCCGCGCGGCGACGAGAAGCGTGAGGCTGTGTTTGTGTCGGACGAGGAGGCTGTGGACGTTGCTGGCGGTCGAGGAGAAGTCCACTTCACTCTTAAGTGGCCGGGAGCCAACAAACCGTCACAGTTGACGGTGGTGCGCGACGTGAAGAAGCTCACGCGCGAGGTCACAGGCGCTGACTCAGGCGAGTTTGTGCCCTTTGTGGGCTTCGAATGCCGCGGCCTGGAGCCCTACGCGTGGCACCCGGAGAGTGGCTACCGCGTCGTGTCGGCAGGACGTCATGCCGCCTTTGAGGACGTTGATTTAAGTGAGGATTGGGCTGATTATGACGAGGAAGGAGAACAATCCGTGGGAGTCTACAACGTCGAGTGGAAGTTCGAGGTGCACAAGTAGAAGATTGATAAAAAAAGTCAATACATCTACTATGTTTTGATTTTTTTTATGGATGGAGAGATTCTTGGGAGCCGAGACGTACGAATTCTTCCTTCTCGTCCAAGTCTTTCTGGATCTCTTGAGCGATGTCGTTAAGCAAAGTGTCAAAGTCCCAGGGCTCGTCTTCTTCCGCTACCTAGTGTGTAAGATAATTGTTAGCTGCGGGATTCTTTAAAATAAAATAAAATAAAATAACATTCGGGACGTACAGCGCGTTCAGGACAAAGAGCGCTAGTTAAGAGGTGCAAGTCGATTCCGTGGGCCTGAAAACGAAACGTGTTCGTATTATAGACTACTGTCATAAAGGAGTGTGGTTGTACCTGTGCACTTGGGAGAGCGAATTTGATCTCCTTGTCGAGCTGCTTTAGGCTCTGGACCACTCGCGTCGTGTTGCGAGGAGCCTCAGCGACTGAGCAACAGGTAAAACATCCGTCAGAAGCTCTACAGCGTACGATGATTAAACACTCACCCATTGTTGTGATGTCCTGCTCGCGCTCTTCTTCTTCTAGATCCGGGATCTCCATGATATCTAACGAAAGCATCGATGAGATGCACGTAGCTTCCCTGTCTTTATAAGTCTACCATCTTACCGGTAGTCTCGTCGTCCTCTTCAAAGTAGCGGCTCTTCTGGTTACGTCTCTCGCCGCCAGAAGCCGGAGCTTCAGACCCTTTGCGGCGTCGACCTCCGCGCTTGGTCTCGCTCGTGGAAGATCCAGTAGCAGGAGTCACATCGGGATCTGGAGTCCCGCCACCTTCCTTGCTCTCACTGGCCAGTGTCGTCTCGTTACCCCATCCGATACTTGCACGCATCGGCGGCTTCTTGGCATCGTCCGCTAATACCGTCTCATCGTCTACATCGAATGCAGCTCGACCGCGCTTGGCATCCCCACTGGAATGGGAATCCTTGCTCTCTTTGGCATCCGACGGCATGGCAATAATGGCGACGTTTCAAGATCACGGTGAAAGATCGATGAAGGGGTGGCCATGAAAGGGTGGTAGCCATGATAAGTCCGTCGTCTCTAACCACAAGAAGGATTTCGGACTAGCCAGAGTCATTTCAACTCCACTCAAAACTGGAGTTTTCCCTGCTTTTGGTTGTGTTCTCGCCATCCCTAAAGCCATCGATTTTCACTGTGCTGGGAATTCTCTGTCCTAAAATTTTATATAGTGATATGATTTTATTATGGCAAACTAAGTTGAGTCGGGCGATCTAATGCAGTATTTGCCGTTGGATCCTGACCTGCTAAACTCTGGAGAGCGTTTCCTGCCAGTATTGCGATACAGCATTCCACAAGCCACAGCCTAGCCGTCAGCTACTGCGTCATGTTTAACATGGATGCGCTGGCAATATTTAGCCATCCTTCATGAAGTTCTTCAATTCGCACATGATCTCGACACGAGAGCCGCAGTGGGAGCGTTGATGATGTTGGAAAATCCGACTAGCAATGACTTGGCTACATATTCACGTGCTAATATATTCTGGATTCCTATCTTTACTGCTGGTGCTGTATAAGTGCTCGCATCATAGGAGTTCAAAGCTGTAAGCGTAATAAACATTTCGTGCAGTGTCACGAAACCCGCCACGAAATTTTTCGTGACGTCATGAACCTTTCGAGGCGGTTTTGTGACACGCACGAAACAGCACTATTACCTTTACTTAAATTAAGTTCCCCTGTAGCCTGCAGGCACGGTTACTAACACCAAGATTACGAACCAAATTACGAACCGGGAATAGATTCCCGGTACGAACACGAATTACGAACCGGGAAATTACGAACCGGGAATAGATTCCCGGTACGAACACGAATTACGAACCGGGAATAGATTCCCGGTTCGTAATTTGGTTCGTAATCTTGGTGTTAGTAACCGTGACGCAAGTTTGTTAGAGAATTTCATCGGATGGTATTCGATCAATACCCGGGTGGGAGCCAAAATAAATAAATAGACAAATAAAGTGGGACATGCAATGGAAATCTGGTCTTTTCGTGCACAAGACCACACAGAGGTCTTGAATTAATCTAGCCTGGGTTTGGTTATTTGGTCACAATTTGATCCAGATTTGTTGGGACAACATAAGACCGACCCTTTTAACGGCACCGATCAGGTAAAGTGCTTTAGATACTAAGATTACCTCAGTAGAATGCACTAGATGAGCAGGATGCCTCTAGCTGCGTGCATAGATGTTCTACTTGTGTCGCAGTACATTTTGCACAACCAGGCTTTCACTTCAACTATGATATCAATGTCAGATACTGCGTTGTCCAGGATGTTGGTGGTGACCAAATCAACCTGTTTATTTGCAAACATTGTTTTTAGAAACCTATCCGTTGTTTACTGTATAAAGTTATTAAAAATCGTTAACCCTATTTACGCAATACAAGGACAAAGAAACAATTGTGGTCCCAGTCCGAAGATATACAATTGTAGTCCCAGTCCTAAGATATACAAAGAACTCAAGCTCAATTAATGTTATCGTATTGGTGTTCGTCTAGCCAAAGGTAGTTACACTATTTTACTTGAACGTTTAAGATAAATTTAGGGATGTGAGGATCTATCAAATCCAGAAGAAAAAACTACTGTTCCGCGGACAGACCAATTTGAGGAAGTGTTTGTACTATGCTTTCCGCAGTCCTCACTTCGTAATTTGCTTCCAAGGCACATCATCTGCAACAAGAAACACCCACACACAACCATGCGCCTGGGCTTCATCCTACTGGTCACTACCTCGACACTCTTTGCCCACGGTGATGCTGTCACGGCAACTGCCATTAACAATGCTGCGCTAACTGGTGCAATGTCGTTGGGCTTTCTTCAACTCATTGGTGCTGACGAAAGGGTCAGCGATCAGTTCCGGTTCCTGAGAGGCAGCAAGATCGCTGAAAACGAAAACGAAGAGAGAGGGGGTTTGGATGCTAAAAGCTTTGTCGAAAAATTATTCAGGACGAACTCTTTTTCGGAGCTCAAGAAAATTGACGAACTGACAGAGCTCAAAGCAATTTCGGCTGCGGTAGATGACAAATTGGCGGCAGTGTTCAAGTTCGCTGACGACGCGAAAATGCGTCCTGGTGATCTGGCCAAAATAGTCAACAAATTCGATGGTTTCGATGATGCTCTTAAGACGAAGGCTCTGGAAGAGTACACCAAGTACTGGAACACAATGCACTAAGTCGACCAGCCTTAACAAAGGCAATTGGATACAGGTTCTAAGATAAGGTCGATGGAATGCTGGGATAACAGAATCAAAGGATTCATTTGCAGTTAGCACGCGTTGCACAGATTTTGTTTTTAGCAATCTGCGACTTTAAATTGGAGATGCATGATCACAATCATAGACTGTTATTGCTGGGAATAGCTTTAGGTATGGCCAGCCCTCAACTAAATAATTCCACGGTACTGCGTAACTGCTATCTCGCTCAACATCCAGCTGACATCAAAATTTTAGCTGAACGTTGAGCTTGTTTAAAGCAATTTTTGACAGCGGATAGTTAAGGGCTAACGGTCATTGGTCGCGAACTCTCTCAGGATTTCTACCCACGTTTTTTTTCTTTGTGGGCGTGTCGAAGTCTAAGCTGCTTCCACTCGCGAAGACTTAACATCGCCGCGCGTCCAGCGAGCTAAAGGAAAAGCGTCGCTGCTCGTCGCTTTGTGTATACAATTCGCGACGAAACACCACCACATTAAACAGTCTAACTGACAGCTTTTGGGACTAGCGCTGAATCGGGGGGATCGGGACACAGTACGAAGTAAACATACATCCCAACTGGGATTAATTCATGTCCGTGTGTTGTGTTTTACACATAGTTTTATGCACTACAACTATCAAGCGAATCCATTTATATTTTGGCACATTCGCATGGATTTAGGAGGTATCGAGCTGCAAAGGGAACATCATACGTGATCACAATGACTTAGAAAGAAAATTAATTTCTGGTTTCTGTCTATCTGATACGTTGTGTATGCACCTGGCCCGCGATGTTGTTGTTGTTGTTGTCGTTTTTGAACAATAAATAATCCGGCGTCGCTTTCATACTCTTATACTACAGCGCTATATTGATTTAGGTACTAGGCAGTAAAACGACTATTAACGCGACTGCCATTAACGACATTGCGCTAACTGCAATGTCGCTGGGCTTCCTGCACTTCGCTGACGCTGGCCAAAGCATCAGTGACCAGTTCCGGTTCCTGAGAAGATCGCCGACGGCAGCAACGAAGAGAGGCTGGAAGCTAAAATCATTGCCAACCAGCTGCATAGGACGAACTCTTTTTCGGCCCTCGAGAAAATAGACAATCTGGTGATGCTCAATAGAATTGACGACGCAGCGGATGACATTATGGAAGGGGCGTTCAAGGTCACTGGCAACCAAAACATGAGTTCTAAACAACTTGGCATGTTAAGAGGATTCTTAGAACTCAACGAACACTTCATTGCCGTGGCAATGAAAAGGTACACCAAATATTTGGAAAAATATTAAAATCTGTTGCTCATCCACTGACACATCTGTTACCTCTTATTTTATAGGAATACCTGTTGCTCATGCCAAACACCTGTCAGTGGGCTTGAAAACTGTTAGTTATATGGTGAACAGAAATTCAATACTGAAGTACTGTTATATTTTTACCCTTCAAATATTTGTTGCTATTCACAGACTACTAGAGTTTAAAGAAGAAGTTTCAAACAGCTCACACTTCCACCGGACATAAGAAGCAGGCAGTGCAGTGTGAAGCTGATCCCATGGAGCTGCTGGTGTTCTCCCCAAGCGATGACGGTGAAGAACGGATGTGCTGGAGTACGAACACGATGCCAGCGAGTTAGAGAATGAGGACATGCTGAGCGCGACTGTTTCGGTAGAAGATTTGGACGATGACTACACAACAGACTCAGTAGAAGACATAAACGTCGCATCTTTCGCCTACGAGAACACTTCTACTACAGACAATGGCACTGCATGCTCTGCGTTGTATTCTAATAGTGGTAGTTCTGGAGTGGTTGCCGCGGCAGACGGTGGTCAAGATTCTGATTCATCTTTGGTGTATGAAAATGCGGCTGATGGAACTGGTCCGTTTAGCATATCCACTGTTGCTATTCACAATAGAGTCCAATACATCAGTGTCGGTTATTACGATACAAAAAAGATGGCAGAGCGGAGCTTAGACCAGCTGAATCATTTCGTTTACAGCTATAAGACGCGATATGTGTCAACGTTTCGGGTTGGAAAGGAGTTTGAGTGCCGCTCACACAAAGATTGTCATCATCGAATCAAGCTAATCACCCATCAAGCTGGCGAAGTTGGGGAAAAATACCAGGTTCTACAGAAAGGAGAACATACTGGAACTGTAGTTAATCTCACAACTAAGGGCATTTCACTGATTTTAAAACCCGAAGTGGATGCACTACTTAAGCTCGGTATGACCGCAGGTCGGGTGCGGAACATGCTGCTTTTTGAGTATCTGAGAGATCCTGCCATGCCCGCACTGGTGCCAGAAACGAAGAAAATGGAAAACAGGAAAGCCTATTTGAAGCGACTGGCGGGGGATGGACGGGAGATCAGTAAATTCGTGGCATTAACAAACTGGACAGCGGGAAAGTTATGTCAAGGTCGAGTTGAATTTTATCGAGTCGATGAAACGAATGGGGCAGACATGAACGAGCTTATCGTCTTAGACGAGTTCGAGCATTTAGTCACTGTAGAAGGCGTGTCCGTAGCCTCACTTGGTGTAGTGGTGACATCTAGAGCTTTATTTCGCAATGTAGAGCGTGCAGTACATGACCAAGGCGACAGCTTGGTGCTATCTACGGACGGCACCTACAGAATCCATTTTGGTGGTTGGACCCTTGTAGACTGTGGAGGAATCTCTGTGGAGCGATCGGGAACGAGATGTGTACAGCGATTTCGTCCTTGGATCTACATGTTCGTCAAAACAGAGAGCATCATTGCTTATGAGCACATGTTTAGAGCTTTGGTCAAATACGCAAAAACATTTTTGATCCTTGACCTGAAGGTGCATAGTGCCAGTATTGACCATGCAGACGCTATAGCTCCTGCTTTGGAATTAGTGTGGCGCCATATAGAAATTCTATCCTGTTGGGAGCATTTTCTCCGTCAGTCACGCAAGCAGACTAAGCTTGAGAAACCAAGGGATTCATGAAAGACATCGGAGAACAGCACCTACGACTACTACACCAGTCTCGGTCTCTAAAACAGTTTAGAGCTCTTTCTAAACGAGTGGTAAAAGCCTGGAAAGAATCTGGAGAGGATAAACTAGCTGAGTGGCTTCAAAATGTGTATTTGACAAAGCGCTGGGAGCGCTGGAGTGTCAATAGTTCATCAGTACCAGGATTTCTTCCCTCCCAGCAGCCTATTGAAAGCCATCACCGCGTCATTAAAGTAATCGTCACTGACTATAAAAAGCTCCAACAATTACGGTGCTGAATTCCGTGTTGCCACGGGTACTCCTGTACGACGCTACCAATCTCACACCTGAATATCATCGGCATTACACAGAAGGTTTGAATTTTATTGATTATTATTATTACGAACATCAACCCATTTAATTATTATTTTTCTTTGTGTAATGTTAGGACCACTTCCTATTAATGCTGTCGTGAAGGCAAAAGAGCAATTACTTCTCCCTGATAACTACTGCATCGCAAGGTCTACAATACGAATTCGAATATTCTTCAATAGTGATAACACGATGGTACTACCCATGGCCGCAGAAAATCTATCCGCTGCAAGTGTAACTGTGGAGCGAACTGAGCGGTACGGTTCTTAAACGTATTAACTCACATACACATCTATTTGATGTGAAATTGTGTATTGAAGGAATGTTAAACAAGATTCAAGAACTCGTTGTTGGGAAAGCTTGGCCCATCTCAACCTATAAACGAAGCCGAAATCACATTTCTATCACAACAGCAAGTGACTGTAGACCGACGGGCGCTCATGCAGATGAATCCGCTAATACCAAGATCAAAGTGGCGTTTCGATGAGGTACGCCATGGTGCCAAACTGTATTCCACTTTACTTTATCTAAATAGCATTTTTATATGGACATATATGCTTAATCAGGAATGTGTTCCGTTGTACCTGCAAAAACTTTATGCATACAGGTTGGGTGTGCTCCCACGTAATCGCTTCCCTCGACTTGCTAAATAAGCTCAAAATTGGATTAGCGTTGCAAAAGATCCCGATGCGATGGTTGCCTGTCGGTGGAGAGCTTTCCAGGGAGGACTGACACGTGACTCAGATCCCTATGATGTCGATCGACTCATTCAACTATTCACAAAGACCCCTGGGATGCCTTTAGAGTGGTCTGTTGTCCAAGAATTTGATATCGAAGATGAAGGAAAAACATACAAGGAGCATCGAGTTGGTCAAGTTGCTGGATGCAGAATGTCTGCGACAGAAGGAGTGTACGTGTGAAGCGTTGTCTTCATCCATGGAGATTCGCTGGAATATCAAGTCGAGGAACTGGCCCATGCAGTTCGGCGCGCTCATGCACTAGGTACCCAGTGAGCACAACATAGTGCGTGACTCTTAACTCCAGCATTTCATTATTACATTCTAGTACATCTCTGCTTTTCCTGACGAACAGAAAATCAGATTGTACGCACTGACTTCGCTGTTGCCTTCTCTAAGCACTGACTTTCTGTTGGTAGCAAAGCGAAACAACTTTCATTGTACTGGCCTTACCAACAGATTTTCCCTCGGGAACTGTAGGCAGCATATGTGTCAGTATTTGAGCAACAGGAATTAATTAGCACCCCAAATATTTGGACGTTGCGCTAAGTGAACTAGTCTTCACAGAGATAATTGGTAATAGTTTCCAAGATAATATCTTGGAGGGACCCCGGGGTCCCATGTGGGCCTTGGTGCTCTCATCCTAAACCAGTTAACAGAAATATAGAGTATCACAAAGCAGCAGTGATAAAATATATTATCACTTCTACTTTCTCTATGAGCTAAAGAACTGCAGAATAGATGGTTGACTGGAACGTAGTGTACCGTCTTTCAGTTTTCGAGGACGTCCGGGTTTGCGTTTGGACGGTGGATTGCAGTCACCCACGACAGTAGAATCGGTCTCTTTGGATTCCTCCGTTGATGCGCTAGCAATGGCTTCTGGTACGTTTGGGTAATACTTCAGGTATTGTTTTGGAATGGAGAAGTATTTTGCTGCTAGTGACTTTATTTTCATCACTAAAAGCATGAGCTGTTTTTGATGGTTCACGCCGGGTATGGAAGGTTTCAACGCCGCTTTCTAGCTTCTTCTTTAGCCTTGCTACACGACTACCGTCAACTGGAAGTATCGCTCTAATCACACGTTCGGACAGGCCCTGTCTCAGTAGCTGCAGCACGACACCCTCCGATTGTTGCCACTCTCTACCTCCTTGGCTTGTATCCCACGACTCCCAGTCCTCTCTCATTTTCTTGATATTACCTTCTCCTAGTAGCTCAACCGCGCGCGCTTACGCAGCTTCTTTTCTGTCAGGGTCCTTTCTTCTCTTTCTGTGCTGCTTTGTAGAGGCGGAGCCTCCTCCACGTCGACGCTCCATCTTCAGCCTTGGTTTTGTTTTTGCTTGTGAAGGATAGTGAGGCCAGCGCATTGTCCAAAAATAAATAATTTGTGATACCGAGGAAATGTTTTGCGGGACCCCGGGGTCCCCCCCCAATCCTACCATATTATGGTAGGATAACACGATCTAAAAGGTTATCTGTGCTCACAACGTGTGACGCTGACTTCGTGCCATCTACTTGCGACATCATACTCAAGATGCACTATCGAAGTTGCAAACTGTTGTTCGAGTTACTTAGAGTATCGTGAAAACGCTCAATGCTCCCCATTTAAGGTCCTACAACATAACATAGGACCTTTGTCCCTATCCCTGCCGGACGAATTCCCTGTCACTTTCATACTTGTAAGAGGTGACAAAACACCCTACAAATACCCAGTTATGATACGAAACCTATATGAAACCCAATTATGCAAGGAACACCATTTTATCTTGATATTTGTGAATTAGGCATTGCGTGGGACCAGTCCATGGAGTATTTAGCTAGGGTCGTAGTGCGAGGTAACCTAACGATTTTTTGGGTTTCACCACTTATTTGAATATAACAAAGGTACAAATTCAGTGGCTCATTGGTTCAGTAGATCTATGACTAAATAGTCTACAGACAGTTTTCGCAGTTTCGACTTCAGGAGTGAGTGACAGGAAATATGTCCTGACGGGAAAACGTTCAGTACGGATACGTAGCGTTCCGTAAAAATACCCTGAGCGCCAGTAAAGCCCGCGCTGCTACGCGGTAGAGCTATCTGTGTCCTGTCCATACAACAGTGGTTTCTCGCAGAGCTTTTGAAGGACATTCTCAAAGAATCCCAAAAAGCCAATGAACGTCCATAAGCGTTGGTACCTACCGCATTGCAAAGACGTGTGACTCTACAAGGCCAACCTACAATAGATGTATAGTCAATCATGCGTATCCATTGATCCATTTCTTGGCTTTATCGATGAGGTTGAGTGCGTCAACTGCTTGATGCCACCGCCTCATCGACATCAGCGACTGCCCGCTAATGGCATTTTATTGGAGACACCTGCAGCGAATCACCAATCAAATCCATTCTGCAATGCCTTCCTCGTACGCAACTCTGCTACGTGCGTCATGGGAAAATGAAAGTTCATTCTACAAGATTGGCTATTTTGACCAATTCTCTGTATTTTATATCCAGCGTCCAAAGTCCTACCCGGGATTGTAACGACTTTGTTGTCCTTTGATTATTAATAGGTAGTCTAAACACGATATATATATATATATATCCCCGTTCTTTATTTATTGGCTTGTTATATACACTAACCTTTTGGATATTTATGTTATCCTTGAAGGTCGACCCATCCGGAGAAGGTTACAATTAAGTACGTGTTATAACTCGTTAGAACTATTCGCAACTTTCGTGTAGCACTCGTAGTTTATCCGATACTTGGTGTACCCATCGGAGTTGCCATCAATCACCACAGTTCAATCACTGGCTGTGCCTGTGTGGGGAATGCCTTGCATTTACCGACGGCCATATCTCGTATTCTTATGACTAATGACTGTACGTTATGCGTGGAGCACATGTATCTAACTATCAGGGTATTTACTGGTGCATAGCATGTTTTTGAATAGGTTAGAACACTACTCTATTTCAAACAAAGCACTTGTAATCTGCCCTAAAACAATGAATGTACAGACAACGACACAAAAAGCCAGAGTACACAAAACCCAGGAAGATGAACACATCCAACAGTAAATTATCGACCAATCAAAAAGTAGCTAACTAATAAGGAACATTCAATAGATTAAGCTAAAATTCGGTTGGACACAGGGTGAAGCCGCGCTGCCCGCTCACTTTCAAAGAGCATGATGGGGAGGAAGCAGCGTGGCTACCCAGTAAAGAAGAAGTTGGCGGCAGTTGAGATCATCCAGAAGATTGGGCTCCTGCCATCGAGAAGCTGGGCCGCCCGCACGGCACGATGCACGGGTGGCTCAGTAGGGCGAAGCTTCGCGCATTCGACGGAAACAAGTTGGACAAGACAACGAAAGGGCAGGGACGTAAGGAAAGTTTTCCTTTCGCCCCTGCCCTTGTGACGTGAAGATGTAGGGGTGGTTCAAAACTATCCTTGATATTTTTAATGTGGTAGTGGCTTACTACACCAGGAATGATCGCTTTATTCTAGAGAACTACCCCAAGTGGTTAGAAACCTACGCTGAGAACGAGAAGTCTGAAGAAAATTGCAGGCGTGCTCTGGAACGTCTACTTCAGCACCGGTATTTATCACTAAATCATTATTTATAATGTCTAAGGAATTGAATTATTAATTTTTAGTCATATTCTGCACTGTTTGTAGTTATGGATTTTCAACTCAAAGAAACCGAATTTCAAGTGTCGATCTCCAGCGCCTAAAAACTGAACTTGCAATCGAATTTTGGAGTACATACAGTTCCTACTCTCCTTCGAAAATCTACAACATGGACGAAACGGCCATTCATTTCGACATGCCGCCATCACGAACTGGGCTATTAAAGGACGAAAAGGGTCTGGTAAGTTTTCTTTATTTTTTATTTACTATTTTACTAATATGTTTTTAGATATAAAAACTTTCTATTCTTTTTATCCTGCCCGTGGAATTATTGATTCCAACGAGTTAAACACGTCGCCTAAAGGCCACGTTTTTTTACACAGTGCAAGAGGCGAGCTGGATGGACGCTACAGGTTGGGAGTTTTACGTAGAAAATATCATAAAATATGAAATTGACTACACTGCCCTCCTCTTAGCAGACAATTTTAATTGTCACGTCTCAGAGGAGGGCATGCGCGTGGTGGCCGAGGAGGCATGCGCTATAGTGATCCTGTTGCCCGCTAAAATCACGTCGGTTTGTCAACCGCTTGATGTGGGGGTTACGGGACCACTGAAGTCTCGAATTCGGGGTAAAACTACTACCTAAAGCGGGCCTAACGGGCTGCTGAAAAACAACTCCGAGCCATAAAGGCTACAATTTCTGCTTGGGAAATTTTTCCCAATACACACGTAATTAGTAGCTTTAAGTCAACAATTCCTCGCTACGAGTCCACAACAGTCTAATACACAGACTTAGTTGCACTGTTTCTTTTCTACACTTAGTTTTATTCGACCAAAAAGCATGTTTTTTTTGCTAATCGTCCGAGTTTTTGTGTCGCCGATATACTATCGGAACAGCTCCGGTTTTTTGTGTCGTTGTCTGTATACATTCATTTTGAGCGCTGGCAGTACTCGTAAACTACGCTGAAACAGTAAGCAGAGGATGCACCGTCGCCAGGGCGTACATCATGGGCATCCAGAATAAAAACCTTTTAAGCGGTTTGCCGCTGACCCCCCGTTTTCCCTCCTTATATTAGATTACGTGATGTCTACTCGTATTGGAAGCAAGATCCTTGATTTAATCAAGTATGTCCTACCTTGATATCTCATTCCCGAAGCACAACTACTGCAAAACATGTGAATGTTGCTTGTGGCGGCCAAGTGCAAAATGATCGGTAAATTACGGAAGACGAAAATATTTTATTATGCTGAATGTCGTCCGAAGCTACGCGAAATAAACGAGATGACAAGTCGGCCGGGCCTACCGGAATATAGAAAGCGGGTTGTACAGACCTTTGCCCATTAACCTACCTCGTTGCTATAGCCCGCTTCCTTCTTATCATTCTCCGCCATAAGCTCTCTCTCTCTCTCTCTCTCTCTCTCTCTCTCGCGTTAACTCCTCCAGACCGGGAGCCGAAAGGAACATTTAAGCTGCATATGCTATGTTATTAGTCTTGATGCTTATATGTAAATTGAGTTTGGGTAAGGTAAAAGAGGAGAGGGGGCATTACATTGGCCTGTAGCAATCTTATATAACAGTAGTATTACATTTAGAAAGAATTAATCGCAAGGTTTGAGTAATTTTGGGTTAGAATGACTCGCCTCCTAAAACTCTGGACTCTGGATATAATGCAGAGAATTCCACGGAGAGACATGCGGCAACTACTGCGTGTTAGTCGTCACTTTCAGTCCTAATTCTTAACCTGCATGATCCATCACCGCAACTTGCGCCTGTGACACAGTATCAGCATCTGCGCGAGGTTATATATTATGGCTTTTCTTGTCATATTGCAGACAGAGATTGCCAGTAATAGCGATTTTTGGTGATTACTGGCAGTAACGAGGCAAGTCCTCGCCGTGGAGTACTTGTAATAGCAATACACTCCTCTTGAAGTTGCGAATTACTACAGAAAGAGTAATACAGTACTAGTAATTACTGTCTTGTACTCTAATTTTCGTCTGTACACTCAATAACTTCAACACCAGCAGACTCCATTTGCCGAATGTTGCTCCTGTTGTGCTTCATCAACTTATACAATTCGGCTCGCGCTATTGTGGTTGCACTTCGCTGTCTACTCGACTGGATACCTACCACACTGTACGCTCGTGTTGTACGTGTGCCATGTAATAAAGGGGCTAATGCTGCGACCTCATTGAACCATACGGGTTGAAGTTGGCACCGACTGGAATTTGTATGGTTGTGTGTTTGTATACGAGTTTGTAAACAACTCCCTGTTGCAGAAAAAACCTCCCTGTTGTAGGATACTTGAGTGCGAAGGAGATGCTTGCAAGTACGTACAAATAGAGCTGCAAGTGTAAGATGAAACAAGCATGACTAGGATTTCTAACTCAATTGATTTCTCTTTCAAAACAATTCCATTCATCTGCTCCCATCGACATCAAGCCTAGTTCACATTGCCCTATATTCTCAATTCGCTCATTGTCCGTCCTCTTGCGTATCGATCTCATGACAAAATCCACGATGGAATACCCACTCCTGCAGCACGTAGGACGAGCTACTACCCAGACAGACGCGATAGAGTAAAATAGAACTCGTTGTAATAATTGGACCACCACAAACCACCTTTTTGTCCTCCTCTGAAGACACTAGATTCAAAGTAGCATGCCATTCCTGATCCAATAGCCAACTGAATTCTTGTAGTACTAAATAGTACTACATCAGTACCTGCGCAAATTACTGGCTACTGTAATAGTATTATTGCATTATACTGGTCATTGTAGTAGCAGTAATAATACTATAGTACTAAATTTTATTATCTACTGAATCCTTGGATGCAGGAGTGTACCGGTTTATAAAAATACGTGGAGCGATTTTCAAGCGAAAATAGGCGAATCGACATTATATCTATGATGGAGTAAAATGCTTTTCTTATTTTTGTAACGTTGTTGTATCTAAACTGCTAACCAAGGTAATGACCGCGGTAGTCTCTATCAACTGCCCTGGTCTATCAGTTATCCTCAGAGTCCAATGGATAATGCCGTTATTCCATTGCAGCTCTAAGCGCTGTAGGGTTCTCATCAAGGTGAAAACCATTGTAAATATGAAGGTACTTCTGCTTGTTCTTGGGAGTCCGCGACTTTCAAAAAGTTTGATATGTCGTCCAGAGTATACTTATTTGCTTCCACCATCGAGCGAGGACATGACGGTTGGCGATACCAGTTTTGAGACCTTGGTTTGGTCAGAGGCGGCAGTTGCGTTACTTGTCAAGGAGGTAATAACCACAATAAGAGAAACAAGGAAGACAGACGCTTGTCTTTAGCACGAGCACATTTGGAAGTTTTTCTGGCCTCTGGAAAGAGAATGGTGCGCGATCGCTCGAAAATTAGTTGCGAAGTGAGTGGTTCTACAAAGCATTAGTTTGCGTGAACCATTCGATGCAGCTCTTTACCATTGACGGAGGTGTCCCGCTGCAGCGGCTTCCTCTTGCTTACGCAGTTCCGCTTGATGATGCAGAATGATTATGTTGTATTTGAAGGTGATGCGTGAAATGCAAAAATTGAAGTTATTAGCGAACTTGCAATCAAAGTAGAAGTTAAGCCTTTGTAGGAGAAATATACTCAAATTGCGATTTTGTGTTAATTCCGATACCCTACATTTTGAACTTTAAATTGGATAAATGCCCTTTACATTTGTGCAAGGAAAACTTTTATCTTCTGGTAACTGTTGGACTTTACATGTGGCACACCTAAAGCTTCGATATGGAACTGGTTGATGGTTGACACATCAATGTGTCTACTGGTATGATTGACTTAGAGTCTGTTATGCTTAAATTTTGTGTAATTAGATCGCAGTGTTATCGAGGTGTTACCCAATGTTATCTCCATAACGACAACACCTACCTGAGGTCGAGAGCAGTTAACGTCAAGCGACGTTAAAAATTGTGGCGTCGGCGGCACTGGTACTGTAGCAAATATGCTTTTTCAGTAAGATGACGCTTCTGAACCTCGTAAACAAATCATATGGACTGAGGGAAGTGCCTTCAAGGCACTGCCTTGGTATCAGCTTTTTCTGGTCTGCTGTACATGTGTGTGTGTGTGTGTGTGTGTGTGTGTGTGTGTGTGTGTGTGTGTGTTTAGCAAGATGACGCTTCAGAACCTCATAATCAAATTCCAATTACATTTGTACAGAGTCGGGTCTGAAATCAGGGATCTCGGAGTGCGAACAAACACCCTTTTTGGTGAAAACAATACAAGATAGGGTACCAGCAAAACGAAAACCACACACTGCAGCACCCGTCCAAAGCACTATCAACTTTTATCCGGATCTGTTTAAGCCGATTTTTCGACATCAAAGAGAATTTTGTAGCTACATTGACAACTGCAGTCTTCATACTATATATAGCGATAGGATCTGATAACAAATAATATTCATTCTCATAGTTTCCTTTTTTCGACCAATCAGCGGGCTCAAATTGCATCCCGGTTGTCTAGCCCTCCCTGACCCCAGCTCTGCAAGCCCAGCGAGAGTGTCCCACCTCTGAGTGCCTTCAATTACGCTCAGCAAAGGGGTATGGCATCACAAATCACACGATCAAACAATCGAAACCTGGTAAGAGCTCGGTGGAGGTCACAAGCGCGGCCAGATTTAAATGGGAGTGTTGCCAGATCTCATAAGCTTCAACCACAATCAACATGGTGTTATGGAGGTGTTAAGTGTTGGCGTCATCCCCTTTAACAACTACTTGGGATAACACTGGTTTAACCGTAAACATCGACAGCAATGTATCGAGACAGTTCCCTCAGGCCTCACTTCGCCATTTTCTTTCCAAGACACGCCATTAGCACCAAGAATCACCAAGAACTTCCTGGACCGATCATGCGCCTAAGCTACATTCTAGTTGCTGCTGCCTCAATCCTCTGTTCCCACCACGATTCTGTCTCTGCATCTGCCGGTAACGACTTTGCTCTAGCTACTGTAACGTCGTTGGGCTTTCTTCAACTCATTGGTGCTGACAAAAGCACCATCGACAAGTCCCAGTTCCTGAGAGACAACAAGATCACCGAAAACGACAGCGAAGAGAGAGGGATTTTGGATGCTAAAAGCTTTGTCGAAAAGTTATTCAGGATGAACTCTTTTTCTGAGCTCGAGAAAATTGACAAACTGACAGACCTCAAAGCAATTTCGGCTGCGGTAGATGACAAATTGGCGGCAGTGTTCAAGTTCGCTGACGAAGCGAAAATGCGTCTTGATGATCTGGCCAGAATAGCCAACAAATTCGGTGATTTCGATGATGCTCTTAAGACGAAGGCGCTGGAACTGTACACCAAGTACTGGAACACAATGCACTAAGTGGACTAGCCTTAACAAAGGCAGCTGAAAACAGTATCTAATATGAGGTCGACGGAATGTTGGGATTACAGGATCTAAAGGTTTACGTGTGCTCATGCGACGGTTTTTCAAACATTCAAGATGCATTATCGAAGCGCAAAAAAACGTTGTTCAGTGTTAAAAAGAAATGCATGCTCCGCGAAGCTCTAGATTGGAGCAATTTAATCCGTGTGTTTTCATAAAATATCTACTCCAACCTATCTTGTCTACGAATCGAACTGAGCAATATTCTCAATTACTACTAGTTTGAAAAAAAATTCCCATGCAATTGTGATACATCCTCTAAACTAATGGCTAACAGCAAAAGTAACGTAGAATCACCCGCCATTTATCACCCGTCAACTGATTGGCAATTAGCTACGGCACTGACATCTCCGCGACTACAAACGAAGGACCTTAAGGTCCTTGATCAAGTGAAGGACACGTTATGTGCCGCAATATCAAACGATGCGATTGAATTAACTTCTAGCATCTGGTGCATAGGTTTTGGTCGTTCCTGTTCCAGCAGGGATGGCAATACGAACGTTTAAACGAACTTCAATTGGATTTCAAACTTTTTCCAAGAACGTTTGAATGCCGTATTACTAAGTACTAGTAGTACGAAAGCGTTTTGCTACTTGATGAAAGTATACCCAAAATGACAAAAAGGGCCTCTATTCAGTAAACCAAAGTGCGTCATGCAGGAGAACAAAAGGAAGCGATAAACTTCCGGTGGAAGCCATGCAATGCATTGGCCACTTGCGGACACCTTGTGGCGGTGATATCCTCGGTTCGAATCCGGGCACGCGCACTCTTATATCCATTATGCTTCTTCTACCTTTCGCTTTTACCCAACAAAGACAGCGTCGACAGAGATCCCGGCGTCCGGAGCATCACCTGGGCTTCCCCTATCTGTGCTTGCTTCCTTCAGCTCAAACAGCCTCAGTGGCTTATCAAGCTCTCTGCACACACCATCATGACGCCCAATCATCTTCGCCATCGCTTTTGTTGGCTCGACCACTGCTTCTACTCCACTTCGTTGCCAACGGACACCGAGTACACATCCACAACAGCCAGTCACTCGTCGAGTTGGTCATCTCGTTGATCCCGTCGGACTGCACATTGAACGTCTCTACCAGCGGCCTGGGTAAATTGTTTTTCATTAACTTGTTTTCTACCAGCGGCCTGGGGGTGAACATGTACGAGCTAGTTGACAGCTTATCGAGCATCTGGTCATCGGTGTGGGCCTTCTGTCCGGTAACCAACGAAATCTTAAGGTCGTCCACCATCACGGCCACGCGTTCGCCCACTACGGTCCCACCGACGGCAGCTTGGAGCACTTCGGACTCGTCCACCACTGCTATATCGACGGTTGCTTCAACCTCTGCTCACTTAAACGATTGAACCAATGGAGCCTGGAGAAAACTTGGAAAAACTGGCGGAGATTGTATAAGAAGGACTGTATAGTCACGAACCCTGGCAACCTCGGCGGAGTTGTTGTTAGCCGCTAAGCAATGAAGGCGTTGGTGCCAGGTTTGGCTAGCGTTGCACTTGATCTTGAGACCCTTGAACTGCCTGCGTTCGTTGCCTTGCTGCCTCGGCATGCTCACTAGCCCGAACAGGTGTAGATGCCGAACATGAGGACGAACAGTACTGTTGGGAGCTTTTCAAGCTGCGAGGTCCAATCGTCCTAGAAGCTCTAGACTTAAAACAAGAGTGCGAAAGTGATTCGCAAACGCATCTAAGCTTCAACCTGAACGAGGCTACTATTAGCGTTGCTGCTGTAGTTGCTCCAATGCATTTCTATTCGATTAGAAAGGGTTTTGCCTCGTTTTAATGTTCAAACCAGCCAAACAACAGCTTCAAGCGAGGACGTAACCACCCAAATTGGCTTAGTTTCGACTTAGCTGGAAATTTTTCTGTCCTCAACCTGTCCTGCACTAAAATTGGAGTGTCCACCCATCGTCAACACGGATTAATTCGGTGGTGTGGTCATCCAAGTATACCGGAACAGGTACCAGTGCGTCGACAACAATAACCTGACTTCCAAAGCTTCGCTGTGGTGAGATAGTCTTTACGGGAATATCAGTGTGGATGCGGAAGGGTAAGTGCGCTCACTGGACTCCCAAAAGCTTTGGATTGGGCACTATTGGTATATCAATGCGAATAAAAGCCGGTACGGTTAAGCGAACGACTTTTCTTGAGTGATAGCTTTCTACTGACAGGATAGACCCTTAGTTTTATACCTGACGTCAAAACCAACGTCGGACTATACATGTTAAAAAGGGATTGTGGGGAGGAGACCTTCACAACCAGTATTGTTACAATTACGATATTTTTGTCAAAATTTGCAATATCAATATAAACTTATGTATCCATAAGCTTTGCAGCTGCTATCGAGGATCTGTAATCGTATTCGAGTTCATTAAGTACGTGATAGAAGTGTTCTTTTAAAATTGGAATAAAATGACACCGAGTACAGTTGGATAGATCATTTTCATGATTGGGAGTCGACCAAGTGATTGTCGGGAAGGACAGATGCTTCAGTTGATACTTCTAAGCGATACCAACAATTCAAACTGATGACCGATCGTTTGTCTGATACATTGGTTGTGTAGCTAACTCATCGAAGCGCCGATTCTGTAAGCGTTTGAGCCGCCGTCATACTCTGAGGGCTCGCTGTCGTATGGGTCTACGTGTTCCTCACGATCTTGTTCGCTCTTGTTTTTAGCAATATAAACTTAAAGCATTTATCGCCGCCACGGCGACAAGTTGCGTCTACATCACCAAGGATAAAAAGCCTTAACAGAAACAGCGATGAACTATGGACAAAATACTAGCGCAATTAAGAAGAGTAAGTTAACTACGAGTGTTTTTTTTTTTACTAGGTATTATATCGTAAGCGATGTTCCAAGGAAATTGGCATCTTGCGGCTGTCAGGCCCTACTCCACATGCAGTGTATGTTCGCTTACCAATGGTATAATATCGTCAAACCCAGACATTTTAGGTTATTCTAGTCCCGCACTTGAATTGGGACCTTGCTGCCAACGAGAATATCTGTCTAGGGCTTTACGGGTTGTAGCACAGGCGCATGCGTGTTTTTTCAAAGTGTTCTGATGTTTCTCGGTGGAAATGGAGTGTCTTGGAAAACCAATTTTGAAGTGTGGAAGTCCTCGGAAAGCAAACCACAGCTCAAACGCGTGTCTACAGTGCCTAGATCTGGCCTGTTCGAGGGGGGGGGGATTTGACGATGTAACAACATCAAATTGTGTGATGATATAGAATTGTAGTTTTTCAAAACAAGAGGAAAAGTGAATCGTCATGGCGGTTTTTTTAACGTACAATAACTGAATTATTTAAATATAGTAGTTAATATAGTTTTGAATAGTTTTTTTTTGAAAACATGTCCTCATCTTAAGCGGATGGGTCAACATCACAGCTTATATAATTATCGAAAATGTTGCGCGGTAGCAAAGCCCTCCTTCAGTTTAATTGGTCAGTTTCTGTAGTATATGAATCTTGGAGGGGTTGGGAGAACCGTACGATAGGTGTAGGTCTCTGGATTAAAAACCAGAAACATGCGCACACGCAAGTCAGATATTGCGACTGCGAGTGAGCCTAAAAGATGCCTTGACACATAGTACAGTTAATGTCAGCATCGCCTTTGCCAATAATGACAAAGGTGTGTACATTAACTCTGCTTTCCCAGCCTCCGACTAGCCTGTTACTGTAATGGTTGGAGTCTATCAGAGTCTATCTGATTTTGTTCTAATGAAAATATCAACTTGATTTAGCCTATTTAATGCCTGAAACTGTGTTTCCTAACTCCTTCTAAGCACCCTATATTTATTTTGTTTTCAAGTGTAGTTGCTTGACGGCAACTATTTGTAACTCTTTACACGCTTATTGGCGATTGCGCTTGAGCGTCATCATTGGTCGGTACAAATAGCCAATTAACCGTACTATCAAGGATAGGACACACCATCTGACTATTCAGTTTGTCTACGTGTATATTGGAAGTGAAGCCTAGTATTATGTGCATGGTATCCGCAGTGGATTTTTGAGGTATGGTACTACATATTTCAGTAAAAAATGTATTCCTATCAATTCCTGACTTCGACCTATACTATGGATCAAGTCGACGTAAAAAAAAGAGATACAATAAACCCGATATTACCGTATTGAATATGAGACAGTGCAGTTGGATTGGTTTGGCTAGTACGCAATCAGAGCTCGCTCTTTATCGCTTTAATTTTGCAATCTACGTGAGGATCTGACCAATCAGCAGCAAGCACATTACTTTTATTTATCTCTTTGGTCAGCGTGCCTCCAGTGCCGGCTGCTTCCTCACCCATCATAAGCTAAAGGAGATGAATTCTGGTCTGGAGAAGGTATCCTATTCGTAGTCGGATTTATAAATATGAAACCAGATCTCAAAATTAGGTTTCACACGACACACTTGGGCCAACGTTGCACTGATCAAAACTCGATATTATGCCGCAATGAAGCCTACAGCACCGTGAAATTCTTGACCTCATGTGCTACATTATGACCCCATTCCAAACTTTTCTTACTCAGCCACAAGGACAAGAGAAACATCCCCAGCTGGTGGGAATCGGTGTACACGATACGCATGAGTTTCGTCCTGGTGGTAGTTGGTGCCACTACGATCTTCGGAAGCTGTGAAAGTGCCTCTCTCAACGAGAACGTTTCTTCCTCTTCGTTCAAAGCCAAACCGCACAATGATGCGCAGTCGACCAGCGATATCGAACAGCTGCTAAGAAAGCATGGAGTAGCTTCAGATACCAGCAAGAACGATGAACAAGGAGCAGGAGGAACTTTGCCGGTTCTGAGGAATTCATTTTCTGAAAAGATGCTCGCTAACAAGGCTGCCACACTGACAAAGAGCAAGTCTGTATCTGAAATTTCCAGAATGAACGGCGCAGCGTTTGATCTAGCTGCAAAAAGTAACCTGAACGTATTGTACAAGAAAATCGAAGATATGGGGTTTAACCCAAATGGGATGAAACTGGGAATGCTCAAATGCACTGGAAATATGCAGCTCGACATTGAGGAAAGTATTATGTGGGCAGCCTACACAAAGTACTGGAAGGATAAATATCCGTTCTGGAAAAGCAAGTTGCAAAGGTAATGGCTGTCACAAGCTTAGAAGACGAGAGAAGTTAGGGAGCTCCTTAACCCCTCGGTTACCAGATATCAAGTGTTGAATCAGCTTAATTTACGTCGTAACTTACGACTTCCTTTTAGTATAAATGTTTATATTGATGTGCCTTTTCCACGTCGAGATGCACTGGTTTCCCGCTATAAACTACCACAGGTTTTCTTGATCTACGTCGTAAGAGTTACGACTTTCGAACCTCGTCCCACCCTGGTAAGCCAAAACTTACGACTTCCAAGTCGTTCTTTGTCGATAGCATATGTCTTTCTACGCGTCAGTACTGCTTCTGATCCCACAAAACCTGGGCTATGCTTATCATTGTGATGTGCTTTGAACAACAGAGTATGAACTACGATAACGAAAGAAGATGTGCAGTCCAAGGGGCTCATACGATTGCTGACTGCTGAGCAGGCTGTTCGTCTTCATTGTCAGCGTCGCCGTCTTCATGACTAAGCAGCTCACGACGAGTTGGTTTGCGTGTGCCAACCTTGCCCAATCGCCGCAAAACGACCCGCTTGCCAAGCGATGCTGGAATAGACTCGCCACTGTCAAAGTCCTCATGCCAAATCTGGTAACACGTCTTGCGCACACCGCCGTACATATGCCGTGACTTGGGGCAAAGGAAGCATTTCGCGTCAGTTTGGGAGCAGTCTTCGCAGTAGTAGGTAGTCTGGAACGATTTCTTGCGGGCACCACGGAGGAGAGCACATACTTTGCACGAACGTTGCCGTCGTTTTTGGACGCCAGAAACAACGACCCAGTCATCGAACTGGACGTGTTTGTGCCCATTCAACCGGGGCCGTTTGCGACAGCGGAACATCGATGAGGGTGTCGGGACGGTAGCTTCCTCAAAATCTTCATCTTTGAGCTGCAGTAGTTATTTATGCAGGAGGAGGTACCATTCTCCACGAGTTTTAGGCACAAGACGCTTGATTCGACATGTTTCCTTGTGCGTCAGATATGCATTCACCAGCGCCATGTCTACAAACCCAAGGAGTAGAGATTTGTAATACTTTTGGAAACGGAAGGATGTCTGGATCGAATAGGACTGAAGGCGGAGTTGATCATGGACATCAACTCCGCCCATCCACCGTTGGTAATCCGTAACGAGCTTCGGGCATTTTACAGTAGACGATCCGACCATCTTGATGTTGCGATGAATAGAATCCTCCGTCATGATCGGACCCGTTGCCAGGTAATGCACTGGTTTGCGATCCCACCAGTGGCACGCAACCATGGTCGGGACAGCAACAGACAGTGAAAATGCAAAAGAGCCTCGCTCAACCGCACGAGGACGAGACTTGCGGCTCTCAACCACTTGTTTATCAAATCCTAGTCGATTGACCATGACCGTTCCCAGTACGTAGATACACATCGACAGTAATTGAATAGCTAGTGGAACGGAAGAATAGAATCTGTCGATAACGACAAGCCGAAAGCCTTGAGGCCGTTCTCCCAGCAAAGCCTTCATGTTTCGAACAACGGCTGCTGCTCCCATCTTGTTGTCGTATGCTTGTTTATCCGAATCCTCATTCTCGCGCTTCCCAACGTACACCTCGAATCTACAGCAGTAAGTTACGACGTAGAAAATGTCAAGTTCAAGTTTTCAAGTCATAAGTTACAACAGCAAAAACCATACCGGTGACAGTACGCACTGCCAGAGTCGCACACCATGAACAGCTTCGTACCATAGCGATGCGGTTTGTCAGACATAAACATACGCGTGGTGTTGCGCTTCGACGTTGCCGGAAGGACGCCTTCATCGAATGAAAACTTACTACCCAGTGTCCAGCCTGATCGAAACCGCGACTGCACCACTTCAACAACTGGTCTAAGCTTCCACATCTTGTCCCGAGTCCGTGGAGCCTCGTTATTCACGACATGCAGGTCACGAAGAATGGAAGTGCATCGGTTTCTAGCCATAAATTTGGCAAAGTTACCAGCAGGAATCGCTCCGTCGTCAGTCATTGCCCAGTGCCGGGAAAATCGACGCGTCATTGGGTTCAGCATTCTCGCCACTAAGAGGCCGATAACGTGTAGCATTTCGTGGGGCTGGTATGCAGCCTCCGCACACAAGCGCCGTTCGATCTGCTTGATTGTCTCAGGGGTCGCTGCGCTGCGCCGCGCATCCGCTGCAGCGACCGGATTCGTTTTGCCCTAGCATTTGCGGTTTGCTTCTGGTAGCGGTTCGTCTCTTTGGTGATGCTCACCCACAGTGATTTCGGTAGAAAGTAGAATAGTAACATCATAGGGGAGTCGGCCAATTCCTGTAGCTCGCGCGTGGGAGGGGCGACGTCAGGAGACAAACCAGGGTACTCCCCAGTTGCTGCTTCAAAGCTGGATGACGGTGTGCTCCATTCAAACCTTCGAAGTGCGTCCTTGTCTATCGCGTCAAGCGTAAGTGTACCTCCCAATCCTTCCACAAATGCATCATCCATGCGAGCAACTTCCTCGTCAGGCGCTGGTGCGTCGTCAGGATACTCGCGACGCTCAACGATATCATCGCCACTGTTGTCACTACTGTCGCTGCCACTGGAATCGATGGCTTCGTACTCATCCGGCAACTCTCCATCCACCATGACATTCACGTCGTCGATCGGTATAGTGACGTGGACATCGTCCTCTACACTCCCACCGTCATTCACACTGGCGCCGTCACTGCCTCTCCCGTTGTCAGAATTGTTTGATCCAGCTCCTGATAAAAGATGCTGGAGCGCCCCCACATTCATGCCCTGGTCAGACTGCTCCAGCTGGGCAGGCTCGGAGTCTCTGTCCGAGCCAAACATCGCCGAGATAGTGTTCTGTGACAACGCAACAGATGTGTCGATTTGTGAGGCGTTCACAGGACCCTCCATTGAAACAACATCGTCCCCGCTTGCCTCCTCCTCACTCTCGCCACTCCCGTCCCTAATGAGACCCGATTCGATGGCAAAGATCACCACGGCATTCTCACCTACAAAAATCAAATTCATTAGTAAAATAAATGCTGAATAGAACTCAATAACGCACCAATGAATGACTGCCCATTCGGCGACGTATACGTCCACTGGTTTGTGAGCCTCGAAGGTCTCTTCGATGCCCAGCCCACCGAGCGTAGCTGCCTCCATAGATGCTTGAAGTCGATGCCGCGCACGTCAATCATACTTGCAACCGTTGCTTGCTTCGTCCTCGAGCTGGATCGTAGTCTTGCCATCGTGGCAAATACTGGAATGAGGTCCACTCGCCAACTGTCCACTTGCGATCTGCCCACAATCTGGTCGGTGGTGTACACCTACCCTTTCCCTACCCTTTCTTTGACTCTTACCTATTCGACCTCTTTCAGCTTATATTTTTTGTCTCAAAACTTGACTTGATTAAAGTATCGTGCCCTCTTTTTTCGAGCCATTTCCTGTTTGAAGCCGCTCTCTAGTCGTAACTTACGACGTTGGTAAACGAGGGGTTAACATGAAAAGAGGACCACAAGCTGTCTGGTACTTACGGGATGAAAGTGAAAGCAAATAAACACTTCTTCGTCTTTTTTCAAGAAGAGTCTTTTTATTTTTGTACATTTAAGGATATAGTCTATTAGGATGAAATGAAACTGGGTAAAGTTGGATAGTTCCTTGTCATGACTTGAAGTTGACCAAAGCGAGCGTCGGCCAGAACAGAACCTGCGGTTGATACTACTAAGCGATACCAACAATTCAAAATGTTGGATACAACAGCGTGTGTGTGTTTTTCTCATAAGAAATTGTTCTCCGAAGCATTTATTACAATAACGTTGATCCATCAGAATAAGCTCTGAAATTTATCAAAAAAATATTATCCGCAGTTCCAAAGGCTTGGGGTTCTTTTTGCCAAAGCATACGCTGCCCATGCTCCGTAGCCCCAGCATCAATGCTGGCGAAGATTAATATCATTGATCATACAAGACTGTCTGGATGGGTAGAAGGTGTAAGGAGGTATTTCGAGTAAGTACAATTTTAATTATGAATGCAGTAGATAATAATAAGAACCCGAATACATTTGTATGAACCAACATTTTCACCATTAAGGCCCGTCAAGCGAGCAATTTTGCCTAATGCTGAGCCATTTTACATGCTGTTAGCGAAGCTAATGGTTTAGCCTTTTTGCGAATTTAACCGGGTACGTTGATCCGTTTGATTTCACGTCCACATATTATCATCTTTGCTGGTCAGTCACGTGCTAACTACGCCAAAAGGAGCCCAGATTACTTTTTGTTTAGAGCCCACAAAGAAATCCCTTGTTGACAGTGAGGTTTAGCAGACCAAACGTTTATGGAAAACTTCCATGCGAAATTGCACTTACATTCTTGGTTGTGACCTAAGTTATCATTTCAGGCGTTTACGAATGATCAGACCCTTCGTTTCTCTTCTGTGTACATCGGATACATGCGCAAGACTACATATGAAGGATGCGGCAGGATACACGGTAACAATCTAAACGTATTATTATCAATCCTAAAAAAAAACTGCTAAAAATGTAGAGTCTTGCAAACACAGCGGAGGTGCAAATCGAGACGAACGGGCACCGCTATTAATAGTACCGGTAATGGTATCTAGGACGAGGAAGCAATAATGTACTTATGCATATCGGATGAAGACCTAAGTGTCAAGCTTATATGTATGTTTGTCTATGTCTCCTATCGTACTACGAAGACAAGTAAAAGCTAAGCAAAACTGAGTCTAAAAGCCAAATTTATGCATCTTAAGTGGAGCTACACCTTTATGCACTCAACCTTGTAGAAAACGGCAGTCAAACTCGTAACTTAAAAATTGGCAAATAGAAAAATTACGGCAAGAGACACTAATCAGTATTCAATGTTGAAAACACGGCAATCAACCTCGTTGATTATTTACCGTAGACCATAGGTATTCCTTCAGCAGCAGCGTTGACGACCTTGCTACAGTGAAGCTCCATACGAGACACCAGAACCGATGTCATGCGCTTGATTTCCGCCTTAGCAGCCCTCTCCAGAACGCGCATCTGCCTTCCAGCGAGCGTTATCACGTCTCCGTTCTGGTCCAGTTGACGGCTTCGATCGCAAATTGCCTCGCGGTAAATAGTTAAGTGTCTCTTGATGTTTGCCTTTAACACACTGAAGCAACCCTCGATGGATTTCCACATGGGGGAGTACGGCCCCAGCCGTAGCAGCTCTATGTCTTCGTGCCCGGTTACGCGATCCTCCGTCTGTCGGTGGGCGGGAGCATTATCAAGAACGACGACAATCGTTTTGCCCTGAAAGAAGCTGCGGAACTCTTGCGACGCCTTGACCGTCTGTAAATCTCTTCGACGAAGGCAGAATTTTTCTCCATACGAATACTGCCATAATCCAATCGGTACGTCACCAGCCCAAAACAGCACATTGGATCTGGAGGTTGGCCCTTTTGGAGGGTGAAAGGCTGAGCACGGCCCTCTCTCCTCGCCTAGATCGCCCTCGCAAGCGCTTTAGATAGATGTTGTAGTTAGTTTCATCGTAGTAAACGATACAGTTACCTGCGTATTGATGCTCCTTTAATTTCACGGCGAACACACGTCGCTTTTTGATATTACTATCGCCATTACACGTTGTGGGCTCGACTCTCACTTGTGTTACAGTAACAGCATGCCCTTCCAGTGTCGGCTAATTGTCGACGTGTCCGCCTTAACTACACAGTCAAGAAACAACATTGTCCTCATGGTGTTCAATGTGTAGGTACAGGTTTCATTTAAGTACTCCTCCAGGAGGACCTTGGCTTCAGACGTCATCTTCACGTCCTTCGCGCCTCCCCGAGGGAGATTGTCATGCGTCCACGCCGTACTATATCGTAGGCAGTAGTCACCGGGATACCCTTGAAACGGGCAACAGCTAGCCAGTCTTCTCGACCGGCACGAAGGGCTTCAAGGACTCGCTGCTTCTCGATGAGGGTGTGGGGCATGATTTCGGTAGGTATCTTAGCGACAGACGGTAAGTTAGCAATTGAATCAGACTTCTGTGTGTTCTGATCGCGTTGTACAAACCTTGGACTTTGGCCCGAGTCGTGCAGAGCCTGTCATTTTTGGCGCGAATCGGTCGCGCAAATCTTGTACGACGTTGACTGCCGTATTTTCAACATTGAATACTGATTATCGTCTCTTACCGTAATTTTTCTTTTTTTTGCCAATTATTAAGTTACGAGTTTGACTGCCGTTTCTACGAAGTTGAGTGCACAAAGGTGTAGTAAAAGCTGTTTCTGTCGATTACGAGGTACTGGGGAGATACCGCAATGAAGCAAATGATTGTGTTCGTTGACTTGATCTCCATCTTGTGACTCGCAAGCCATCACGCAGGCGCTTTGTTCGTACCGGAGTTTGTTTTGATATGTAGATATGATCTATCCCACAACATTAAAGCTTTTGGGAGCTAGATTAGCGCATACATCGTACTGATATCAGTACTGATATATCGGTTAGGACGATCACAACATTAGATCGTTACTGACGTACTTGTACCTGTACAGCTTACCCGGGCCCATTGGGAAAAACTCAGTGGAGATTTGAATTTAATTGAATTTATTTGATGAACTCAAATAATATAAAGTGCCTCGCGAAGACTGCGCATACAATACGCCTGGTCGTCTCTTGAAATCGGCTTTTGATAATTTTCGTTTTCATTATTCTGTTTCTTGTTTGTTCGGTAACGTCTCACCCTTTCACGGGTCTGCTCGGGACGATAGCCTACGTCGAGGTGTTTAAGCAGATCATCTTCATTAGAGGACTGCTTGTGACTGCACCGTTTCTTCCGTAATGCGAGCATGTTGATGCCCGGCGAAGGCGCTCTTTACTCCAGTCTGGCTCTAGAATCAATCTACTATAACTGAGAAGCAATATTAGTTGATTCAGCGCCACTATGATCAGCATTGCAGCAAATGTACCAGCAAATAGCTTCTGTATAATGTTGTCGCTGGATGTACCAGCCCTTGGTGTTGTCACGTTCCAGCAAACCCTGCTGCGAATAGCACGCCAGTGAACCTTGTATTGCTCCGGGTAGCTGCTAATGACGTACTAGCACTCGTTTTGTGGTGGCCCAGCCTCAAAAACGAAAAATGAGGGCGGTATCGGTCTCCGCCATCGGTCGGCCTGACAACTTCCTGGCAAAAATATCCCCGCAAAATCCTTGAAGCGCCGGCGGCACGCCAAAAATACTTGGCTTTTGTATGTATAGCTCGTGCGTAAACATGGATTCACATGCGCCTTACTTTCAGTATTTAACTACCGATATAAAACCGGTGCCGGTAACTATTTGGTGATAATGGGGGTTTAGATCGTCCCGTTATAGTGACCGAACCTTTCAGTGCCATTTTGAAATAAAGTTGCCGAAGGGTCGTGCATAACCAATGTGTACAATATGTGTGATGCATGAAACGTCGTTAAAAGCGCCAATTGATTTCACGGTGGGTGCTTGCCATGCCATGACTTGATTTCCTATTTGAAAATAGTTTTTTTATTTACCGGTTTGTTTTTACAAGAAGTAGGATAAGCTACAGTTCTCACTACGTTCCAAACTGAGAATTAGTTTACTGGGCTAACCATTCCGCTTAGTTAATCCTTGTTGCTTTACTAATGTGATTCATATCCTTAAAAATGGTCCATGTGTACCTTTCGCGCAACAGTCCATAATATAACAGACGTATTTTACTGAAAAGTCGGTAACATTTGTACTAATACGAAAATCTAGCTATTCGCAAAACGACAGACACAGTGACAGATGGCACCAAGCTACTCCATTAAAGTCCGATATCGTACTTAATGAGATGTATAGTGAACTCAGCGATTCAGCCGGTGGATCGATTGTTGGGTCTACATATCTCGGTCCGTTCAATCAACCCGTCATGAAAACTTCGACTAGAACACACAATAAATAGACGGGCTATTATTCTGGTAGTGGCTCAGTAACGAAGTACCTACAGTCTTTAACTCGTTTGGCTACACTTGAATTCTGTATGGGAATGAATGATGTGCGCCACATAATCGCAAGTTGTGGTTGCACTTCGATGTCTACTCGACTGGATAGCTACCGCTGCCTGTGCACACTGTACGCGCGTGCCGGACGTGGCTCTCTAGTTGAGGAGGGGACAAATGCTGCGACCTCATTAGTCCATACGGGTTGAAGTTTGCACATCGGCTGGGATTTGAATGGATAATCACGTGCATTGATGTATGTTTTGTATGCGAGTTTCATATTCCTGTTGCAGAGAAACTCCCTGTTGCAGAAAATCAGGATACCTGAGTGCGAAGAAGGATGTCTGCAAGGGGGGACTAGGAGAACTTCATGTGTAGGATAAAACAAGCAGGACTAGGACTTTTAACTCAATTAACTTCACTTTCAGATTCCCATGTATCTGTCCACATCAACATCACCCCTGGTTGGTATAGTGAAGCGAATTCGGTGAAATGTGGTGAACAACGCTTCCTGAATTTCTGGCCAGAATGACAGATGGCGACCTGACACTATTGAAGACGCCTAACAGCAACTGGATCATTCTACATTGAATAGCCGGCGGGAGTGACATCAAGGATTCTAAGATATAAGTTCAGCAGATCTGGATCCCCATGTCTCAAGGCTGTTGGCCCGCATTTGGAAGGCATGGGCGATTAAAGTATAAACAACATGTACAAGTCTACGCTATGATGCTGACACCACTAAAGGTTGTGTGCACTCTAGAAGAAGTGAATCGGCAGGAGTAACCAAGTAGGACTAGAACTTGGAGCTTGTTTCAATTTCAGATGTCCAGATTTTTTTTAGCAGCGACTTGACTTCATATTTGTAGGCATCATTTATTTTATCTATTGAATATGCGCATACTCGTGGGAGCCAACTACATCCATCGAACGTTCAACATGCTGATGAAGCTACCACACAAACGCCGGGTCCCTCGATATTCTCAAGCCCGGTAAGACCAAAATGATTAACTGCCTGTAGTGTATGCACCATTAGACCCAGCCAGCTCCAGCTATAAGTTGAAGCTGCAGGCCACAGATCTCAGGAGCGTATCGACAATGCTGTATCCACGTTCGTCATCCTGGATGACAGGATTCCCGTAACGCCACACGTAACGAAAGTCCTCGCGTCCAACCACTGCGGCTGCAGCGCAGCTACTACAACCACTACCATGTAGACCAGTGCTCTCACTTCGCTATTTACTATCGAATACACCAACGGCTAAAACTTCCTGGGAGAACCGGCAACACCCCCATCGTGTGTTTCCAGTTCCTGATACACCACAAAGAATTCGTTAGCGGTTCTTTGCTGTTACACAACCATGACTAAGACCCGATCAACATCGACAAACGCACGGACGACGATGACGGCTGCGACGCGATACCAATCTTCACGCCGGTGCTACCACCGCGCCTCCCGAGTACTTCCCATGCTTCACACGTCAAATGGCGCAAAGAACGCCGCGAGTATGAGGAGTCCGTCCGTAACCGTGCTAAGGGCGGTGCTGAGGACAAAATCGTCCCCATTAGGACGACTTTCGACGAGGGTCTGCTTCCGATGTGGTGTCGCCTACGTTGGCAGATTTCGATCGACGACGCCACAGATGAAGTGATTTTAACCGAGATTGACAAGATTATCTCCAGTGTCAAGAACAACAACGTTCCTGATGTGGATGATGAAATGCGTGAAATGCTGTGCATGGACCTATCTGAAAGTGATGTGAGCGAGCTAGTTATTCAGTATTTTAAGCTCTGCCACGACATCATCAATGACCATGGCTGGTAGCAATTCTTCACTGGGGACGACGGTAAACAACAGCTTTACCGTGTCCTCATTGCCTCGTTAGAGCCTCGAGCTCTGCGAGAAGAAGTGGAACGTACAGTACGTTTCAAGGCTTGAGCTGCAAAATCCGACGAGGTTATCCTCCATGACTTAGTGTTGGAAAAGGCACTCGACCAAGAAAAAAAATTACCAGAACCAACGACGCGCCAAGCGGGATCAGAGGGATAGTGATTCGTGACGTGCACCAAAGCGCGGACCGAGTAAACTTTCTACCAAGAAACCCCGCCTAACCAATGAACGGAGCCAAACGACCTACGAAAAGACCCCTTCGGAGCGAGCTAAAGTGCCACCAACTCCTTGTCCACATTGTGATGAGATGCACTGGTTGTCGGAGTGCCCATCGCCTCTGATGACCAGAAGGCCGAAATCCGTCGTAAACTTCGCGATCAAAGAGCTAACGAAGGAAACAAACGTGTGGTGGCGCAGGGAAAGCAGTTATTATCTCTATTGCAAATTCGATTCGCGTGAGATCTACCGAGCAATTTCGGCCTGGTTTACGTGTTAACCTGGGGGTCGGATCCTAAACCCTTATCGTCAAGAAGGCCATATGGTACTGACTTTATCTTTTTCTGCGCTCTTCATCACTCATCATGCTTGCCTCAATTGCTTCTGGGCGCATCGAGGCGTTATCGATAGTTTAGTAAAAGCGTACTACAGTCAAGGGCCGTATCTAATTTATGTATGTCACAGCAATATAAAGTGTATGATCATGAGTGGATATGTGTTGAATTTTGAAACCGATTATCGATAGCAGTTTCATGGTGTGTATCTATGTTCGGATGAATCGAAAACATTTCGAAAAATACTCCTCAGCATGCATTGCCCACAAAAACTTTGGTGAGCTAAATAGGCATCCGTCGGATCCCATTGATAATTGAACTTAATAGAATATGTCATCTTCCATTTAATTGAGAGTATAGGGTCTTGCGAATGCGGAGTAGCGGGATCAGCAAAACTTGCAAGATCGCTGGCTCCTACTTTCCTCCTGGCCCAGACGACTGATTAACGGAGGGGTTTCCCCGATGATCTGTGATGTTGTGCTGAAGTTGTTCACCTTGCGCAACTGCCGGGATGGTCGGGATCTTGCTCTTCTGGTAGAAGCTGAAGCGTTCAAGGTGTGAAAGATTGGACGTCTTCGTAAGGCGTGGAGAATGGGGCGAAGAAAACTCTTCGCTCTGCTGCCGTAAAAGTCCAGATCCAAAGCGATTAGTCGAGCTTGGATCTGGCGACCTTCGGGTTCCCTTGGGCGGATGGGATGCCTTCTACGTCTTCGTTTACACGTACTTCTCGCTTCCAATAGAGGGGTCTTAGGGTTGTTGAGACATGAAAAACAGCCGGGCCGAGTCGTAACGCCGGATGATCGGAGATTGTGCTTGAGGGTAGATCATAAGGTGGCTTGGTACGGTACTTATACTAAAAACCAACCAGATCAAATAACTTAAGACTTGCTAACACGGCAAGCGGCTTGTTTTTCCTCAAGAATGAAGCGCCTTCGTTATAGTATCCCATCTCAAAAGAAGACTGTTCTTTTGGACGAAGAGGTTGCTGAGCCGTACTGAGCGGACACTGGTGCGAACAGGACCGGCACAAGCAACCAACACGTGGCTCAACTGCTTCGTAGAGACATATATATTAAGGTGACTCATTTCAATACTCCAATAGTGCACGTGGCTGTGGGCGACCACGAGATCACATCCACGTACTTCGTGCGACTTCGGTTGCAACTCAACACTGCTGCCGGACCAGTCGGCTTGCAGGAACCTGTTGACTGTTAAATAATTGAGTGTGACGAACCCGAGTTCATCCTCGGTCAGGATGTTCTCAAGTCTCTTGGGATCGACATCGATCAACAATTAGACCAACTTGCAGGTCGAGATGAAGGCGAACAATATCTACAAGACGACCTATCATCCCTCGCGCTGAGCGTAACCGACAATGACCTTTAAGCCGCTCTTGAACGGATGATTTCCACTGCACTCGAGCAAGGTTTCCCGAGCCACCTTGAGCAGCAGCTCCGGGCTATTGTGTTCAAGCACGACATATGGCGCCTGGAGCTAGGCAACGACCCTCCTGCCAATGTCGAGGCACTACGGATCAGACTCAAGGATGGAGCACGTAAAGTCAAGAGCAAGCCACGTCCTTACCCATCTGTAGTACGTGCGTTCTTGCACGAGTTTAACGAAAAAACATGTCGAACTTGGGTTGGTGTACGAAAACGCATGCAGCCGCTGGGCTAGTCCAGTACTTCCGGTGCGCAAGCAAGGCGTGAGCGGCGATGAGTACCGGCAGACGTGCGACTACCGTCTCGTGAATGACCTCACCGAGGCACATATTAGCACGATGCCTCATATAGCAACGCTACTTGAGCACACTCGAGCAAGAAACACTTCGGTCTGTTTGACCTACTAAAGGGCTTCTGGCAGCTACCTCTATAGGAATCTAGCCAGGAATTCCTGTCGTACATAACTGACAACAAAATATACACTCCTCGTCGAGTTCCTCAGAGATGCTGTCATGCCACAGTGCATTTTCAGCAGACGATGGAGCAGTGCTTCCAGTCGCTGTTGTACCATTCCTTAGTTGTTTGGTTTGATGATCTACTCCTATTTGCTGACGACGTAGACCCATACGTTACGAAGCTAGAGGAATTCTCCGACTTGGTTGCAACTTTCGGACTCAAGCTCAGTGCCAAAAAGAGCAGTATCTACCAACAATCGGTGAAGTGGTGTGGACGTGTCGTCACATCTGATGGTATCACTCACGACCCAGCACGCATCGATGCTTTACGGAGTATGCCATATCCTACGATCGCAGGTCAATTGCAGCAATTCTTATGTGCTGCCAATTGTATGCGCGAGTCGATGGATGACTACGCTTGAACTGCTGACCCGCTGCAAAAGCGACTCGATACAGCGCTCAAAGACAGCATGCACACGAAGCGCGTTGCAGCTGGTATTTCTATTGAGTTGACGGACACTGAACGTACTGCAAATGATACGATGAACCAATTGCTCTCCACTTCAGCTACACATGAACTACCCGACGACGATGCTACTACTACTGTTTGCTCAGACGCATCCGATTGTGGTTGGTCGGTCATTGTCACCCAGGTGACGGACTTCATTTCTCGGAAACCAGTTCCTACGCAGCAACACAAACTACTCACGCGCCTCAGCGGTGCGTTTAAAGGCTCGCAGCTTAACTGGACCGTGATTGGAAAGGAAGCAAACCCCATTGTAGTAGCATGTGAAAAACGTGACTACCTACTAATGCGGGTGCGACCATTCCGCCTCTATTGCGACCATCGCAACTTAATCCATGTCTTCGCTCCCCATACGAGTATAAAGAAACACATTAGAGGCAAGCTGCTTGGATTAGCATTGAAGCTGATGCCGTTCCGTTACATCATCGAGCATGTCGATACTGTAGTGAATGTGTGGCAGATATGCTCTCTCGGTGGGCAGGGTAATCGATGACTACGGTGAAACTAAAACGATTTACCAAGAAGAGAAGCAAGAAACAGAAGACTCCAACTAACCCACATACAAAACAGATCCTCCGACCTCTGGACGACGAATTCGTCTGGCCATCACTAGACGAGATCCGTAGTGCTCAGCGACAGCACCAAGCACCCGTGGGGTCGACGCAAGATGCGGACAAGGTTCTCAGAGTGGACCAGAGGATCTGAATTCCTAAAGCATGTACTGAGATCACACAGCGACTCTGTATCACCGCTTACTGCAGACTCACGGTGACCGCGGGGAACAAGCAATGGCTAACCACCTGCGACGGGTGTTTCACATACCAAATCTCAGAGGTATCGTACACGCTTTCATAGCGACCTGCCTACTGTGTCCACACGTAAAAGGTAGCCAAATCGTTCGCTGACCATGGAGCGGGACGATCGATTGTGATGAACGGAACGAAGTCCTCCATTGGGATTTCCTGTCCGTGGACGAATCCTCTGGTGATAGTAAATATTTGCTAGTACTAAAAGATCGTGCCACACACTTCTGTGAGCTGGTGGTCTGCGACTCAGCCGACAGTGCCGTAGCGACAACCGCTCTGCTGGACTGGCACAGCCGTTTCGGAATTCCGCCTCAATGGGGCAGTGATAACGGTAGTCATTCTAAAAACGAAGTTGTGGCGGAGCTCCCCAAGAGACTCAAGTGCCGGCAGACTTTTACCCTGGCTTACAGCCCATGGATCAACGGCTCAGTAGAGCGAGTCAATCGTGATATCCTACAGGTTTTCCGTGCAATGATTGTTGAGTACATAATCTCTACAAAGGATTGGGTTTACCTCGTACCGCTAGTGCAATCTAGTCTAAACCACACCGAGCTCCCACTGAGCTATTTACTGGCTCATCGTGCCCATCGCCTCTGGCGGAATTTTGCCACGCTAGCCGCAAGGAGCAGGTTAAGGTACCTGCCACTTCAGCTGCCATTGCTAGATACCTAGCTACTCTACGCTACAGTCTGCGTACAATGCATGGCCCCATTACTGATGAGCGTTTGAAGCAGCGTCTTCTCAACCAGAAAAAGAAACGAGGGGGCAATGTTGTGAACTTCGACGTCGATTACTACGTTTTACGCTCATGCGTAGACGAAAAAAAAAGGGAACAAGCTACTAGTAACGTGGCAAAAGACCATACAAAGTGGTCCGTGCTGATGTCCACTCCGTCGCATTCGTCATTTAGTGACAGGGAGTGAGCTAGATGTTCATGCGTCACGACTAAAATTCTATGCGGACCAAGCCTTAACGTAACCGAGGAAATTCTCGAGCACGGAGCCTCCCAGGGCATCATCCTGGCCATCAACGAGCCGAAAAAGCATCACTGGAACGGTTCTATCAAGAACTATGAGATTCTAGTTAGCTGGAAAGGCTTAGAGTCTGTAGAAGACTCATGGGAACCGCTGACGTCTCTTGCAAAAGAAGTCCTTGTTCTACTGAATCAGTAGTTCCAGAAACAGAACGGTAAGGTGCTCAAGCATTGAAAAGACCATCAGTCCAAATTTTAATAAACAGTTTTGCATACTTTTGCCAAAACAAGCAAT